TGTTCTACCCCTAGGAGCGATTGTTCTGGCCCTCATGGGGAGTTTTTAAAAAGATAATATTTAAAAATGGTAAGGCAAAAAAAAAATGGTAAGGCAATTTCACCACTGTTAACTCATTTAATCCCCCACAGAGCACATGAAGTAAGATGAGGTCTTTTCTTGTTAAAGAGAGGGTTCCATGCACGAGGCAATCCGTGCTACGACCGCCCCCAGGGTGCCCACCTCCCCCTGGTAAGCTTCCGACTGAAGACCGGTTCTGCTTCTGTTGCTTTTGGGAATTTGTTATTTTTCTTACTTTGTTTTTTTATATCTCAAATATGAGAGTCATCCTGTGTCTGTTCCTCTTCTGACTTCTCTCAGCACGGTACTCTCCAGATCAACCCATGTAGCAAATTTCATTTCATCTTTTCTTATGACAACTTCTATTTACAGTGCATATATGCCACAGTTTCTTTACACAGTCATCTGATCTTAGACACTGGGGTTGTATCTGGATCTCTGTCTATTGTGACTAGTGCTGCAATGAACATACCATTTTCCAGTTAACCGAATCAAATTTAGTAGAACAAAGTATATTTAGGAGAACAAAGAAATATCCAAAGTATATTTAACCAGCATATTTAACTTATCTAAACCACTGTGCTCCATCCTTACTTCTTTTGAAACCAGGCATTGAGACTAACATATTTAAAATATAATAATTTCATGCAATTATTAACAAATTAATTCAACGATGTTATGTTGACTGCCTATTATCCAGGCATAGGGTGACCCTGCTTTCAGGAAGCTTAGTCTGATGGGGAAGGGGATATGCCAAAAAGCAAAATAACAGGTGAACATTTGTACACCTAAGGACATATGTACAACCTGAAAGGGTATCATGGAAGGGAATGCCTACGTGTGCCCAGAAAATAAAACAACCTTGACCTAAAATTAAAAGGAGAGTCAGACACCTGGGGTTTAAAGGAATAAGGGTTTTCTTTTTTTGAGGGTGTTTGGGGTCACACCTGGCAGTGCTCAGGGATTACTCCTGGTTCAGTGTTCAGGAATCACTTCTGGTAGTACTCAGGGGACCATATGTGGTGCCGGGGCAGGAGAGGTTTTCTGCGGGCAATGGCATGGGCAGGGGCTCCCAAGCAGAGCTCAGGTCTGGGGCCACTTCACTCCCAGCAATACTTAATCAATTGGGCTGGAATTTTCCAGGCTAAGGTGGAGCAGCACTGCTCAGTTCCCAAATTCTGGTCATTAGGTCACCCTAGCAGTGCTCAGGGGGACACCCAGTACTGGGGATCAAACTGGGGCTTGCTGAGATATTTTCCCAGCTCCTAAAAGGAGGGAAAACATTCTTTTTTGCTTCGTTTTGGCTTTTGGCTTTTTTTTTTTTGGCGGGGAGGGGCCACACCCTGTGATGCTCAGGGCTCACTCCTGGCTCTGCACTCAGGAATTACTCCTGGCGGTGCTCAGGGGACCATAGTGATAATGAGGATCAAACCCTAGATTGGCCACAATGCAAGGCAAATGCCCTACCCACTATGCTATTGCTCCAGCCCCAGGAAAACATTCTTAATAGTGAAGACTTGGGGTCACAGAAATAGTACAGCATGGAGGGGATTTGCCTTGCAATTGGCTGACCTGGGTTCAATCCCTAGCACCCCATATGGCCCACTGAGCACTATCAGGAGTAACCCTTGAGCGCCCTCCTCCTCCTCCCCTCCCACCCCAGCCAAAAAAAAAAAAAAGAGATGATGAACTAACCAAAGCAGCATTTCAGAATATATTTAGGAACGCTGGGTTGATCCATTCCAGCAAAAGAAAATAAATGCCTACTAGAAATAACTGGTCACTGTTTATCCTGCCAAGGTTCTCTTTTTGTTGTGGATTTTGTTCCGATGGTTGTTTAGGTCTAGAAAGCAGCTGTGGGAGAAGCTATCATGAGCTCATTCCCCAGATCAGAACCACACAATGGAACTTCCACGACCCTATTCAATAGACTACCTATTCAATAAGGCAGTTAGGTAGCAGCTGAGTGTTTGAAATGTGGCTAGAGAAACCTAGGGAGTAATCTATAATGTTATTTAATTTCAATTCATCAAAACTAGGGCTAGGGGTTGAGAGCATGGCCAGACCCCTGCTTCTCCAAGCCTGTCTCGGGGACTGTCCAAGCCTGCATTGCCCTGACAGCATGTTAGGCATGCAGAACCAGGAGCGCAGTCGGTGGCAGAGCACTTGGCACAAGTGTTAAGAGGTCCTGGGCTTGATCCCTGGTACCCCCACTTACCAAATTCAGAATTCCAGGCCCCACCCTGAACCTCCTAATTCAGAATTTGCTTGTTAACACATTCCTAGGTGATCGCATGCATAATAATTTGGAAACAGTATGGGCACTGCAGGGTGAGCTTGTGTTTGTTGGGGGGTGGAGGGGTGTCCCACACAGCCTGGGCTCAGAGCTGGGGATCGAATCTGGGGTTCCTGCATGCAAAGTAAGTGAGTTGTTTCTCTGGTGAGCTATCTATAAGGGGGGAAATCGGCTAAGGACACATAACTGTAATAACTTCTTCACACTTCAGATACCTACAGTTATGATATGTTGGATAGAAGTGGGTTTCTTTCTTTGAATCTGTCTCTCCTCTATCCTCTAACAACTGAAGAAATAGGACAGAGCAAGAGAGAGGCAGGATGCTGGGTCTAAGCTACATTGGTGGCAGGTGACATGGCTTCTTCAGGGCTACTTGTACAAAGTAAAATGTGCCATTGCCAGGGCTGGAGCAATCGCACAGCAGGTAGGGCATTTGCCTTGTATGCGGCCGACCTGAATTCGATTCCCAGCATCTCATACGGTGCCCCAAGCACCGCCAGGAGTAATTCCTGAGTGCATGAGCCAGGAGTAACCCCTGTACAATGCCAGGTGTGACCCAAAAAGAAAAAAAAGTGCCATTTCCTAGATAATTGACGTGAGTGTGAAATTCACGGGAGGGAGTTCATTGGACTATTTTCTCTACTTTTATGAATTCTTAAAGAGTTTTCAGAACTAGAAAAACATGTGATTACAGAGATGACCTGTGTGACAGCCAGCCTGGAAGCTTACCCCTGGGGACTACCTCCTCCTGCTCCTCTTTCTGTCATCACCTTTCCTACTAAGCCAGCACAAGTCTATGTGACCAAGGTGGAGGGGACAGGTGCGCCCTCGAGAGCTGCAGTGTCTTCAGTCTGGGTCTCTCTTGGCTCCCTGGCCTTGAGGGAGGCCAGCCACCATGATGGGAGGAGACTCAAGCAGTCCTCCATGAAAGGAAGTCTCTGGGGGAGAGGAGCCAAGGTGTCCTGCTGACAGCCAGTCTCGCTGACACACAAGGAAGCCAAGCTGCTGCCGAAGGATTTTCGTCCCAGTCAAGCTTCCACTGATGGCAGCTGTGGGAGCCTCCAGCCAGAACTACCTGCCCAGCCGCTCTTCAACTCTGGTCAACAGAAACAGTTAAAAACGATGCGTGTCTGTTCCAGTGAGCTACTGAGTTTGAGGGACGATTGTTATGTGTCCCTTAAGAACTGGCAATAGAGAGTAAGGTGGATTGGGGCTTTCCCACTCCCTGACACCCTCCCCACTTTGTTTCCGATACCTAAAAAGGCTTTTGCACTCTCACATGCCAGCACGCTTCAAGGTGATAAAATGCTGACTTAAATTCATAGTAAAACATGTGTGACAGATATAAATTCTTTTTCAAACTCTTAGCAGGCTAATGTATTGAGATATTAATTTCAGCCTTGCTCCTGATGTTGTAAGAGACTAGAAAGAATAAAAATGTGATTTGTTCCCCAGGATCTACTGTCTCAAACCTAAAGTCAGAAACTGTGCAGTCAAAAAACTGTGCAATCTCCCTTCTTTTCACCATCCCCTCCCCCAAGACCCACACTGCCCACCGCCACCAGTGGGTTACAGCTCCAGGGGGTTGGCAGAGGTGGGGGTGACCCTAAAGAAACACACACTATCCTCATCTCAGAGATTAGGTGACAAGCCGGTATGGAATTACTCTGGGTGGGGGGGCGGGGGGAGTGGGTTTGGAAAGTGGGCCGGGGTGAGGTCTAGGCGATGAATAAGGTCCCTCAGGCTGGGAAGGGTTTGGAGGAGAAAAGCAGAGGCCAGGAAAGGAGAGGCAGCTGGGAGAAGCATTTGGGGAAGAGGGATCCTGGCCAGGCACCAAGACTCCCAGCCCCACCCCGCTGAATTGTCCGTGGTGCAGCGAATACTTAACCGCTGCCCCAAGCACTGTAGATCCAAGACTGAAATTTTATGTTTTGTGTTTGGGAGCCGCACTCAAAGGTGCTCAGGCCTTGGTCTTGGTTCTGCACTCAGGACTCACTCCTGGCGGCCCGGGGAACCGTATGAGATGGCACCTGGGTCGGGTCTGCGCCCTGCAAGGCAAGTGCCTTCCCCCGCGCTGTGCTCTCTCGGCCCCAATTTTTGATTTTTTAGGACTTTCCACAAATTTTCGAAATATTCGGATCTTAGAGACCCCTGCGAGAGGCCCCCACCTCCAAATCTGGGGGCGAGAGAGAGGGGGCACCTCCAGCGTGATTGATGAATTTCCCGCCAACACTGACACGCGGGAGCCGAGCCCGATCCGCTTTAATCGTGAAATTAAAAGGCTGCTCGCCCCGGAGTCAGTTTCGGCGAATTCCGTTCAGTTTGACCTACTTTCCCGAGAGTGTTCGCGCGGGGAGCCGGGCCGGGCGGCGGCAGGGGCGGGGGTCGGGCGCGGGGGCGGCGCGGCGGGGCCGGGGGGCGCGGCGGGGGCGGCGGGGCGCGCGGCGACCCCCCAACCCCGCACGTGCGCCCGCCCCGCCCCCGCGCGCGCGCGCCCCGAGGCTCCGGCGGCGACGGGCGCGCGCGCGGTGCTCCTGCCCCCACCCGCTCCCGGCGCTCGGCTGCGGCGCCTCCCGCGCCCCGCACGGCTCCCCGCGCGGCCGGACCCCCGCAGCGGAGGCGGCGGCCGAGGGGGCGAGCGCGCTCGGGGCCCCGGAGGAGGCGATGGTGCCCGGCGCGGGCCCCGGCGGCCGGTGGGCGCCGCGACAGGCCGGCCCGTGGGGCGCCGCTGCTGGGCCAGGCCGCGACGGAGCTCCCGCAGCGGCCACGGGCTGAGACGCGTCCTCGCCGAGCAGGTGCAGTGGCCGGAGGCCGGGGGAGGGGGGCCCGCCGACAGCCCGGGGACCCGCGAGCCTCCCGGGACGCGCCCGGGCCGGCGGGGTGCCCCGGTGACCTTCCCGCGGCTCCTCCCCGAGACCCCGCCGACCCCGCCTCCAGACCCCGCCCATCTCCCCCCGCCTGCCCCCGCAACCCACCGCCCGCCGGACCCCGTGTCCAGCCCTGCGGGGCCGCGCCCGCTCTCCGGGGCCCCAGGATTCGGAGCCCTTGGTGGCGCGGGGCCTTTCCCTCCCAGCGCCAGGGGACAAGGCGAGCAGGGGGTGGTGCGGGCGGAGCGGGGGACCCACCACCCCGCCGCCCGTGGCCTCTCCCTCCAGCCTGTAGTGACCCGCCCTCCTCCCCGCTGTCCCCCACCAGAGCACGCCTGCGTGACTTCCTGCGCCTCCCCCGTGGCCTTCCTGGTCCTCCCCGGTGACACTATGCAACCCCGGCGCCGCCACCTGCGAGGCCTCTGGCTCCTGCCGCCCTCCTGGTTCCTGCTGCTCCTGGAAGTGGTCAGAGCCGGCCGGCCCGGGGTGAGCTGCCCCGCCGCCTGCCTGTGCGCCAGCAACATCCTCAGCTGCTCCAAGCAGCAGCTGCCCAACGTCCCCCACTCCTTGCCCAGCTACACCGCGCTCCTGGACCTCAGCCACAACAACCTGAGCCGCCTGCGGGCCGAGTGGACCCCGACGCGCCTCACCCACCTGCACTCCCTGCTGCTGAGCCACAACCACCTGTACTTCATCTCCTCCGAGGCCTTTTCCCCGGTCCCCAACCTCCGCTACCTGGACCTGTCCTCCAACCAGCTGCGGTCGCTGGATGAGTTCCTGTTCAGCGAGCTGCAGGCCCTGGAGGTGCTGCTGCTGTACAACAACCACATCGTGGCCGTGGACCGCTGCGCCTTCGACGACATGGGCCAGCTGCAGAAACTCTACCTGAGCCAGAACCAGATCACGCGCTTCCCTCTGGAGCTGGTCAAGGAAGGCGCCAAGCTCCCCAAGCTCACCCTCCTGGATCTCTCCTCCAACAAGCTCAACTTCCTGCCCCTGTCCGACCTGCAGAAGCTGCCCGCCTGGGTCAAGAACGGGCTGTACCTACACAACAACCCCCTGAACTGCGACTGTGAGCTCTACCAGCTCTTCTCCCACTGGCAGTACCGGCAGCTGAGCTCCGTGCTCGACTTCCAGGAGGATCTCTACTGCATGAAGGCCAAGGTGCGCCACAGCGTCTTCCACCTGGGCTTCCTCAACTGCAGCGAGTACAAGGAGCGCGCCTGGGAGGCCCACCTGGGCGACACCCTGACCATCAAGTGTGACACCAAGCAGCAGGGCATGACCAAGGTGTGGGTCGCTCCCAACAGCGAGCGGGTCCTGGACGAGGCGGCCAACGGTTCCGTGACGGTGTCCAAGGACGGCAGCCTTCACTTCCGGCAGGTGCAGGTGGAGGACTCGGGCGTGTACACCTGCCACGCCATGGGGGAGGCTTTCAACGAGACTCTGTCCGTGGAGCTGAAGGTGTATAATTTCACCCTGCACGGGCACCACGACACCTTCAACACGGCCTACACCACCCTGGTGGGCTGTATCCTCAGCGTGGTCCTGGTCCTCATCTACCTGTACCTCACCCCATGCCGCTGCTGGTGCCGGGGCGTGGAGAAGCCGTCCAGCCACCAAGGGGACAGCCTCAGCTCCTCCATGCTTAGCACCACACCCAACCACGAGCCCGTGGCCGGTGAGGACAAGGACGATGGTTTTGACCGGCGGGTGGCCTTCCTGGAGCCCGCCGGACCTGGCCAGGGTCAGAATGGCAAGCTCAAGCCGGGCAACACCCTGCCGGTGCCCGAGGCGGCCGGCAAGGGTCAGCGGCGGCTGTCGGATCCCGAGTCCGTCAGCTCAGTCTTCTCTGATACACCCATCGTGGTGTGAGCAGGACGGGTTGGTGGGGAGATTGTGCCCCTGGAGAGGTAATGCACCCCGGAAGGCTCCGAAGGGATGGAGGAGAGGGCGGGCTGCTCCCAGACGGGTGGGTTCCCCCTGACCTCGAGGGAATGGGTCGTGGGTACGACCGCAGGCAAGACCCCAGCCCGGGTGTGGCTGTCCGAGTTTTCAGAGGCGGAGGGCTGAATGTGAGGTGCCTACTGCACCTGCCCTGAGGCCTGGCTCCAAGAGGCCGTATCTGCGCTGGGGAGGAGAGAGGAAGGGCTGGGAGGAAGAGCGGATTCCCTCAACTCGTCAGGGTCATCCTTAGCTCCTTTGGAGAAAATCATATTTTGGGGGGGAAACACCACTTTTTATTTTTTTCCGCTTCTGTCTTGGCCCACCCACACCTGTGCTGTTGCGTGTGTTAGAGAGAGCTCGCCACACCTGGGAGAAGCTACAGTGAATCTTCTGTGGCCAGGAAGTCACATGGGAACATGGGACAGCTGGGGAAATGAGAACCTGTGGGAAACTGAGTCAGACGGGAAGGGTGGGCCTCAGTCAGAAACGCTCCCCACAGCTCAGCTGAGTCTTCCCTCTGCTGCCTTCCGCGTTCCCAGTGGGCCCTGGGGAATCTGGGCGGGAGACTGGCCTGTTGCCAGTCAGATGTGGCAACAGTGTGAGATGTCGTGGCCTCTGGACCTCGGCCCAGGGACCAACGGTCCTGAGGGTGACAGTGTGAAATGGGGAGGGGATTCAGCATCCCGGCACAAAAACGGGGGTGCAAACCCCAAATAGGCCATTTCTCTGACAGCTGACACCCGTGGCCAGTGGCCATGTGTCAGAGCAAGGTGCGGTCACTGAAGGCAGAGGAGTTGGGGCCACTTGCCCCAGATGTGAGGGGGGAGGTGGCTTCCCACCGGGAGGGGCAGCTGCGGGGGCCACGGCCTCCGTTGTGTAGCACCCAGTGGAGTGACCTGATTTTCTGGGTCTGCTCTCTCCCCAGCCTCCTTATCGTGCTCAGGTGGGGTTCGCTTAGGTGGGGTTCGCAGTTTTGCCTCATCTGCTGCCCTGCAGACGTAGGAGGTGCTGAAAGGCCGGGCACCTGCTGGGCTAGAAAGGGTTTGGCTAGTCACCGTCACTGTCACCAGAGGGTTGGGATGGAGCCATCTCGCCCTCCCTGCCCCAACAGTTAGGAGGGTGATTGGGTTCTGTGCTCTCCCCGTGACCCCCTTGGCACTCATCTAGAGATATGAGGACACGGGGACCACATCCGTCCATGCTGTCCCTCAGCCAGAGGTCAAGTCTGACGTTCCATGTCCTGGTGGTGAGGGCAGAGAATGGCCCAGTGGACTGCCCATGGAATCAAGGAATGCTGGGGAGCGCGGTCATGGCGCCCTCTGTCCTACAGGCCCCAGGGGATGGTCCCTTGGAGCTCTGGAGGGACTGGGCAAAGGTGAAAGCCTTTTCTGATGCAGCCCCCCCTCCCCCTAGGGTCCCTGTCTGTTTGAGGTTGTCCAGATTGTCTTGTTTCCTCATCTTTTCTTTAGGTTCCAGCGAGTGTCACTTTCCTGTGGGGGCAGATGTGGGCTGGGAGGGCCTGACCCCCACTGCCGCTAGGAGCGGGAGGGAGATGGGTGCTGGCCGTGGAGAGGGAGCTGCCCGTGTGGGGCTGGGCTGCGAACAGGCTCCTGTGCTCCCCCATGCATGCACCTGCTTCCCTCGGGACCCTGCGTCCTGTCCCTGCTGACACCCACCGTGCAGAATGGCCTTTCCCCATGTGCACCTTCAGACCCGTGAGTTTCTTCCCTGTAGGAGAGACAGTGACCACGCCAGGCTCCCCCACTACAAACGCAGCTGTTTCTCCCTCCCACACTCTTGTGTTTTTGATTTCTGAACTCCCTAAAGCTTCACCTTTGCGGCCCCAAACAACTTCTTTGCAAAGGCTGGTGTTAGCTGCACAGGCTGAGAACCCTGGCAGGGCCCCCAGAGTGAGGAGATACCTTCAGACCCCTCAGAAACCTGCCTTGGATCCAAGGCTGGATAAGGGAGTGTAGAACTAGGTCACCGATGGGCCCAGCAGGGAACTGGCAGGGTCCCCAGCAGCTCCAGTCACTCTTCCGACGTGACCTGTGGGGGTTTTATTCCCGGGCTTCTGGGACTTTAGTGGTCAGAGCAGCAGTATACAGAGACCCCCTCCTCAGACTCTCAGGGAACCTGAGCGACTCCTCACTGCAGCCTCTCAGCTGGGCCCTGGAAGGCTACTCTGAGGCGCTGATGGTGTCAGTGGGGGCTGGGGACATTCTCAGAACTCCTGAGCCAGTAGACCCATCTTTTTCATCTCAGAGAGTGAGAGAAAGCCTTGAGGCGTCCAGTCTCGCAACTCTGCCCACCCAGAGCCCCTTGGAAGAGACTGTCCCTGTCTGCCATGCCCGGTTGAGAGTGGGCGCTGTGTGGGTCGTGGTTCCAGGTGACAAAACTGTTGGGGGATTGGGTTCTCGGCAGACACCAGTGGGCTGGAACCCGGCCTCAGAAGCCTCCAGCCAATTCCAAGGAAAGGCTGAGTGAGCACCCCATAACCAACCCGGCTTGTGGGAAGCCGGTTCCCTGGGCATGACAGGGCTTTAGTCTGTGAGTGTCCATCACCTTTCCGCTTTGCTTATATTTACGGCTCTCCTTGGTTGAGGGGGTCCCGCCAGGGTGAGCTGAGACGAGTCCAGCTTCCTGTGTGTTCTCACCTCTGTACTCCCCTATAGTCCTGTGGCACCGTCTCCAGAGTCTGGGATCCCCTGACCCCACGTGTCTCCCACTGTGTGTCCCCAGGCTGGCCAATCTTTGGAGCTTCCAGGCTCTGGAAACCAGACAATGATCATTAAACCTGGCTTGAGTCTCTGTTCTAGCATAGTCTGTGACTGGTTTCTTTAGGTTTATTTCTCTTTGCAGTGTGTGGTGGGGTTCACTGTGCCTCGGAAGGGTGTGGTGTGTCTGGGGAGAGAATGCAGTTCTCAGGGGATGCGGAGATTCCACATATCGGACTAAAAACAGCTTTTTTTCCCTCCCCTGTAAAGAGCCAGATAGCAAAGACTAGCCTTTTGAGGCCATAGCATCTATTCAATGGGCCCGGGTGAGAAGCTGCCACAGACACAGTACATAAACACATTAATGTGGCTCCATTCCATTCAGACTTGATCATGGACATGGACTCTTGAATTTCATGTCATGTTAACCAGGCTTTTGAGTTGTTTCAACTATTTAAAAAAATGTAAACACTCTTATTAGCTTACAAACTACACAAAACCAAGCTGTGGGCTCATTTTGACCTGTGGGTCATTGTTTGCCATCTAGCTGGTCGATTTTTGTTTCATCCCCTCTCTTTTGGGTGGGGTGATGTAGAGCCACATGCGGCAGTGCGCAGGGGTCCTTCCTGGGGGGGAAGGGGCTGGGGACTGAACTCCGGTCAGCCCTATGAAAGACAAACACCTTAACCCTGTACTATTTCTCCAGCCCTCAGGTAGATTCTTAAAGGAAATATCCCTGACACTTTAGAAGTATTGAAAAAATTCCACATCTCGGAGGTGGAGCCAGAGAAATTTTTTTCAGGAAATATTGGTTTCCTGAATCCCTGGGGAGAAGGTTCCCCCCGCCCCCAATCTAATGCACCCTCCCCCCATGAGTTCTCTTAAAACTTCACATCGTACCTACTAATTGCACTTTGGGAAAATGCATGGACTGGGTTAAAAAGAAGTGGTAGGCAGCTCACTTTCACAACATTTCAATGACCAGTACATTTTCATGTTGTAAGTGGTAACCACCTTAGTTTGGCCCAGGGTATCTAGTCACCTAACCAGCAGGTTACTATTCACTGACAGGTTCAAGTGTCCTCTGGATTATGTAGAACAGAGAGACATGCAATTCCCATTTTCTTGCTAGAGCCTGCCAGGAATTGGACTGGATTCCATTAAACTCTGAACTTGCAAATTCTTTGGCTACTCTCTCAGTACTTCTGGAAGGGGACTGTCATGGTGGACTCCAAAAGTTGGGGGTGGAACTGGACTGAGAAATGAAAAGAATTGGAATTTGAGGCATTGCCTAATTGCTTAAACTGGTAAAGCTTTGATCAAAGGGCTTGTGGTCCAACTCTTCTCTCGTCTGGAAAATTGTCTCTTAGACTCAGGACAAATGTGGTGAGGGCTAGACACCTCACAGCCAGCAGTACTGGGTAAAGCAACCTTGGCAGTCAATGAAATGATGGACTGTTGCCAGGACGCCCCCATAATGGACATTCACGTAGTGTTTGCTCATCTCCTCAAAGCACTTTTTGCTCTGGCTGACAGTTTGCCTGAGCAGATGAAGCAGAGGACTCTGTTCTCGCCTCTCCTTTGACCAGTACCAAATCTTTTTTTTTTCCTAAGTTTTTTTTTCTTTTGTGGGGGGAGGGGTCACACCTGGCAATGCTCAGGATTTACTTCTGGCTCTGCATTCAGGAATTGCTCTTGGCGCTGCTTGGGGAACCATATGGGATGCTGGGCGTCAGACCTGTGTCCGCTGTGTGACAGGCGAATGTCTTACTGGCTGTACTATCGCACCAGTCCAAGCCAGCACCAAATCTTAGATCCTGACCTAGTTTCCAAACCTGCAACATTGTTCCCCCACCCTCAACCCAAGAAACCCATGGCCACTTCTCTTCAGCCTGTCCCCCTTGCCCCCAGCCCTCCCCTCCCCCTCCACAGTTTCCTAGATCCTGAGTCAAACTCCAGTTCTGGCCTGCTGTCTGGCAGCCCTTGGCCTGCTGAATTCAGGGGAGCGGAGAAGGCCCTTCCAACAGCTGCTTTAGGACTGAAGCTAAAATTCCAGTGATGGGTCAGTTAGGTCTATCTCCCACCTGATCTCTCTTTTTTTTTTTTTGCTCTTTGGGTCACACCTGGCGGTGCTCAGAGATTACTCCTGGCTCTGCAGTCAGGAATCACTCCTGACATTTCACGGAGGACCATATGGGATGACAGGAATTGAACCTGGGTTGGCTACATGCAAGGCAAAGCCCTCCCCACAGTACGATTGCTCTGTTCCCACTCCCCTCCACGCATCTCTTGACTTCTTTCCTTTCAGCAAATGCAGTTCTTGTTCCTGTCTTCCGGAAAGTCAGCAGGGGAAGCTGCATTTTTCCTCTCTACCTAGCAGGGAAGGCTCAGCCCATGCCTAGGAAGGTTGGCTTTTGTGGTCTGGCCACAGCAAGCCCCTACTGGCTGCTTCCTCTCCTGGGCCTTGAGAGAGGAAAGCTACTGTGATGGAAACTGGTAAAGATCGTAGGTAGGCCGCACTCCCCGCCCCCACCTTCCAGGCAAGTCCATCTGGTTACAGCCCTGGAGACCCTGAGGGCATGGAACCATGCCTGAGAAAGCATCTGCCAGTGTGCCAGGGTATGAAACCTGTGGGGCACTGGCCAGTGCTCTCCAGCACGGACCCCAAACTCGGTGGGGAGGACACACATCTGTGTGTACAATGCACACAGGGAGAGGAGTTGCTGCCCCATGCCCAGCCCCCACACTTGCTGTCGGTGTGGGTCTGATCAGAGGCCAGGCCCTGCTCTGGGGACCCTCAGGAAGTGCCACACAGACTGGAAATGAAGCAGGAGGCTAGAGGTCCCCCATGTCTACACAGATATGCGGCCTTAAGTCTGGACATTCTCTGGTTCCGGCAGGTTAAAGAATCATCTGGGAGATTCCAATGACTGCAGGTGGATTCCAAACAGGGGCTTCTATTCTTGGACCCACCGAGGGGGGTGGTGCAGGGGCAGGCAGGCCTTTGCAAGGTGACCTGTGACTTCTTCTAGTCTGGCCGGGCACTGGGAAGGCTGGACTGCAGCCGGCGCCTAGCTGGCCCCACGGGCGTGTGCGCTGGGGGAGCCCTGGCGAGCTCTGGCAGGGCTGTGCAGACGACATCTGGTTCTTCTGTTCCTGGATCCCAGGATGGAATGAAACGATTCAGGCAGAAAAGGAGCCGGAAGTCCCAGCGCCTCTGCTGTTGCTGCCTGGCCTAGGTACTGCAAGCCACTGTACCCTCAGGCATGCGGTGGAAAGTAGCCTTCTCCTCCCTGCCTGTGGCAGGCTTCTGTGTCTGGGGCAGGGGTTAGTTGAGTTCCAATAATTTTTTCCCAGGAGGGGGGCTGCCCAGGCAATGCTCAGAGTGGTCACAGACCTCCCAGTGAATCTCATAAGCTGTGGAAGGGGGGGTTTTCAGTGTGGGGTCCCAAGGACGAAGCGCCCAGGGTTACTCAGGCGACTGCAAGTGTCACCTGGGAGCTACACCCAGAGATGCTTAAAAGGGCCACATGGTGCTAGGGGTCGAACCAGCGTCATTTCCATCAGTGGCAAAGCATATACCGTGACTCCTATATCAAGTCCCTGGCCCCCCAAAAAAGCATGTTCTGATGATAGGACTCTGGATAGAGAAACCAGTGAGTGCACCACGGCTCTGCACTGGCTGGACACAGAGGGACAGGGTGGTAGCACCATCGCCCTTACCTGTGCTTCTCACTGCCCGCCTTGTCTGTGAAGAGCAGAGTAGGGCAGCACGGGGTTAGAGAGGCTGTGACCACCACTCCCCGCAAACTTGTCAACTTTGCTGCAGCCTCCCAGCGGAAAGCCTCCGGCATCCGGGCACTCCTGGGCTGACAGCTGTGCAGGCAGCTAGGAGATGCTGAGGATCCCTCCAGGACGGTCCCCAACACGGCCTCTGAGACCTGGGAACGTACCAGCTCTCCTCCCAAGAGCAAGTGGGAGCTACAGAGCCTGGCGGGGGCTCAGGGCTAGGGGCCAAGAGCCAAGAGCAGAGCTACAGCCCCAATGACATTCGTGCACTGGCTTCAGCCTCTGAGTGACCCAGTCCTCCTGAGATCCCTGGAGTACATGGTTGCCCCTGTCCCTGCGGGGGGTGGAGGGGGTACAAGGGAGAGGATCTGAGGAGACCCCAATTTCCGAGTTCCCTGGTCAAAGTGCTGGCTTTCCACATATTTTTTTTGGGGGGGGGGCACACCCATCTGTGCTCAGGGATCACTCCTGGCAGTGTCCGGGGACCATATGGGATGCCAGGTCAGCTGCATGCAAGGCAAGTGCCCTACCCACTCTCCTGTCTCTCCTGCCCCAACTGCCCACGTCGTAAGGCATGTCCTTTTTCTGCCCACCAGACACAGGGGCGGTGGGAACTCACCCAAGGCTCTCTGCCCGCTAAGCCTGCTGCAGGGCTCCTGAATCGCTACAGGGGGGCCCTGAGGCCCAGGGGTGTTTTCTGGAGACCAGGAGATCAACAGAGGGGCGGGGTCACTGGTAGGTCCATGTCAGCAGCTGCTGCCTGTGCTCGGCCAATCCTGGGGAGCGGGCACCTTCCCATCTAGCCCCCGTGTCAGGCACAAAAGCTGGAGGGGGGACTTGCAGTCACTCGCTGCTGTCCCACTGCCCCTCCCAGAGCACCTCCCTGCTTGGTGATGCTCAGTGACACCAGACAGCCCTGGAAGAAGGGGAAGGTGAGGGCTGGCTGAGTCAGCCAGCAAGTGCTTAGAGATCTACAGCTGAAAGGCCCCGGCACTGCTCAGCTAATGATTATTATTAACCGGGAACAGGCCTTGGCACTGCAGCCAGCTGGCTCAGGAGGATGCCTGGATCTCCCACAGTGAGGTTTGAAAAACAAGGCCCATCCCAGCAATGCGGGGGTGGGAGGGTGGGGACAATGAGAGGGAAGGGATGGGCCAGCGTCGGAGGGGTCTGCCCTGGGAAGGGGGCGGGCAGGGGCAGGAAGCTTGCCCCGGGCCCTGGGATACTGTGCTGGCCGGGAGGCTCTGGGAAGGGGGCAGCCGAGGAGGGGCGTGGGAACCTGCACCCAGCACATCATCCTTGCACCGTTTGGATCTGGATACAAAAGCCGTCTCTATCTCTAATAGCCTCAAGGTTGAGTCTGAATCAAATCAGACTTGGAATCAAGAATTAGTGAGCCTGATATGCAAATTTGTGCAAATGACTTTTTTTTTAATGTGAGCATCCTGGTTTTTTATTTGTTTGGTTTTTTTTTAAGGCAAAACAGGCAGTGTGCCCTACCCACCAGACAAGGGCAAAGGGACACCCTTTGTTCCCGCCCAACCCTTCCACCTCCGCCTGCTTGCTGAGACACAGGCGGGCGGGTGAACTGGGTGCAGGGGGAGAAGGACACAGCTGGAGGCATACGGGTTGCGACCCCCCATATCCCGGCTGCAGGAAGATCCCAGCCAGGCACTGAGGTCTGCCGGGGTCCAGCTGCTGCCCCAAGATGTGAGGGCAGGTGGCGCCAGAGGGGAGGGGCCTCCCGTCTGTCCAGCTTCTGCGCGGTGGGGGTGGGGTGGGGCGGACAGCCCCTGCTGCCTGGCACCGGCGGAGAGGGGACCCGCGGGAAGCCCGCCTCTCCGCCCGGTGCCCTGTGCGGTCAGAGGGGTGACAGCTGGGGCGCCTGCCGCCCGCAGAATATAAATGACTTCCCCCTTCCTCCGAGGGCTGGGAATAGACATCAGCTGGCACAGCCCCCGCAAACTGCCGGCTGTCAGCCCGCCTGCCCGCCCGCCAGCCCCCGCACCACCTGGGAGGCGGCGACACCTCGGCAGGAGCCTGGAGGGGGGCGGGGCAGGCCAGGGACCCCTCCCCCCAACAGGAACCCCACAGAGAGGACCTCACAAGCTCGGGCTCTCAGGCGCCCCCAGCCGGGCGAGGGAAAGGGACAGCGACCCTCTGAGCCCCCTTGGGCAGCTCCCACTCGCGGAGGGCCGTGGGCATGCCATCTGACCCAAGAAGCCCCAGTGAGGGCCCTCCCAGGTTCCAATCCAGGCCCACCTCCTTGGCTTCTGGGCTCCCTGGGGGGAGGCTTCCTGGGCACAGCCCCTGCACCAAGGGACATCAGGTTTCCCCCACCCTCTACCCCAACACCCGGTTCTCCCTGAGCTGCCTCTCGACACCCGCTTTCCCTGACTCGTCGTCTGCTGTCCTCGCCAGACAGACCACAGCTCACCATCTGGCGTCCAGCCCTCACCAGAGGGCAGTCTGGGGAACGACTGGCCTTCTGGAACAAGGAGGGGGGTCTGCAGGGAAGAGGGCCCGGCCCCCACTGGCCAGCTGGCACTGAACTCAGCCCCCCACGGGCCACAGAGATGACAAGTGAGGAAAGTCGCACTGACAAGGTGAGAAAGGGCATCAGGAAGGCTCGTTCATTTCCCTGGTCCTTATATTATGCTAAAGGACACAGTGTAGCTTCTTGGAGGTGATACACTAAGGCAAGAAGCTGAGTCCCACCTGAGAGGTAATACAGCAGGGAAGGCGCTTGTCTTGCAAAGCAACCAACCCGGGTTTGATTCCCAGCACCCCATATGGTCCCCCTGAGAGCTGCCAGGGGTGATCCCTGAGTGCAGAGCTAAGAGTAAGCACTGTCAGGTGTGGTCCCCAAATCAGAATGAAAACCAAGGAGCTGAGCCCCAAGCAGTAAAGCGTGAGATGCTCCAGTTGTTCAGCCACTGGCAGGGGCAGAGGACAGAGCTCTGTCTGCAGTCTGGTGGCCAGCTCCTCAGGGGAGGCTGAAGGGCCTTCTCAGCCAGGCTAAGCTGACGGCCAGAAGCCACAGCCTGCCAAAGGCAATGCCCTTTTGCTCCCTAACAGCGGTAAAGTGACTCTAGTGCCTTCCCTGCCCAGCGGCTGGGAGACCCTCACTGGATCTCTTCTCTCCACCATGCCTGATCCCACGTGCCCCAGGCCAGTGGCCAAGTCAGCACAGACTGTTGGAAGGCCACCGGAAGGGCAGAACCGACCGTCCCACGAGAGGTAGGCGGGGGTGGAGGTGAGAAATACACCCTGAGTTGCCAGCACAGTCCAGCCCGTGGCCGAGAGCTGGGAGGTACTCTGTGACATCAGTGTGACCGATGCTGCACGCTGGAGACGCTTCGGGAACACTGATGACAGAGAAGGGCGCTTGGGTCCTGATGTGCCTTACGGGGGCTGCGATGCCACACCAGGCCCCGAGGTGCTCCGTGATGCCACACTGCTTTCTGCGAAGTGATGTCAAAAACACAGCCGCTGCTCCTGGGAACTCCATTCCTCGGTCATGCAAGCGAGAAGTGACGGTCAACCCCATCACCACCGTCACCCCACACGCCATCGCCCATCGAGAGAGGAGGCATCAAGCTCCCCGTAACTACCCACACACCACACCTCCTCACCAGTTTCAGTTCCCATCTCACCCGCCAAGCCCTCCTCCATCCACAGTCTGGGTTTCTGCAGCCCCGGGTTCAGCTACGTCGGCTTACTAAACCCACCCCTTCTCACAGGGCTCCTCTGCAGCGCTAGTAAAGTCCAAAGCCCTTGTTCCGCCTAGATTTGGAGGTGGGAGGGATTCACATTTCTGTTTTCTTCCTTGGCAAGTAGGAGCTAGAGATTTGGTGCATGATCACCAGAGCCGGGTAGAGGGGCAGCGCCAGGCACAGGTACCAGGCAGTGCCTTTGATCTGGGCCTGGAACCACACCGAGTACATGCCCAGGAGCACTGTGACCGTGGCCATGAGGTAGACCACCAGTCCGCAGGTCAGATGATAGAGCTTGAGGCGAGCCACCTTTGAGACCCTGGCCACCCGGGGACAGAGGAGGCACAGCCCACACAGTGCCTGCCCGGCCGTGGCCACCAGTGTCACAACCCCTATCCAGCTGTGCCAGGACACCAGGTGGGGCAGCTCACTGCGGGTCCTGCTGGAGATGATGAAGCCTAGGCCCAAGGCCGCACAGAGGATGGTGACGGCCTGGCCGACCCAGTGGAGTCGGATCCGGGTCTTCCGGGAGCAGCAGAAGAAGAGAGAGTGCTCGGGCGAGAAGAGGAGGATGGCCTCAGCCATGCAGAGGCAGAACTGTGGACAGAGGAGAGGACCAGTGAGCCTCACATCCAGCTTGGAGGCCTGAGAAAAAGGAGCACACTCCTACACCAAGCGGGGACAGAGCGGAGGCCCGCAGAACTCCCGCAAGCATTGCCTGATGCAAGGTCAAGATTTCTGGGCACAACTGGGATTTTGTGCTTGCTACCCGTGACGTATTCGATATGCCAAACACAGTAACAAGTCTCACAGTGGAGACGTTACTGGTGCCCGTTGGAGCAAATCGATGAACAAAGGGAGGACAGTGCTACAGTGCTTTTTTGTCCAGGCCACACCTGACAGTGCTCAGGGCTTACTCTTGGCTCTGTGCTCAGGTGTCACTCCTGGCTTTGTGCTCTGGGGGTCATTATGTGGTGTCAGGGACAGAACTTTGCCAGGTCAGTCACATGCAAAGGAAGTGCCTACCCGCTGCGCTATCTCTTGGGCCGGAATCAGCAGCGGGCAGAAGTCATCATTCAGACCTGTCTCCCACTTCCCAGCCCCCTTGGCTCCCTCCAGTGGTTCTTGCTTCTGACCAATGGGAACAGTGACTGTCAAAGTGCCTGGTCAGGGAGAAAGGAGCAACTGTCAAGCACTCCTTGACTTCCTCCTTTCAGCCCCTGGAATCCTCCAGGCCTCCCCTCCTCCCTTCCATTTCCTGCTGTGACCTAGAGAGCCTGCCCTCGGATTTCCCCATCCCACAGATCCCAGGAAAGCAGGGGGCCTGGCTCCCCCCAGCTCCCGAAGCCATGGAAAGGCTGAGTCTGTGGCAGGCCGGATGCTTCCCTAGGGCCTATCCAAACAAATCAGCTGCAGAGCGAAGCCCAAACTCACCGCCAAGGCCATGAATACCGGGTGCCAGGAGAACCGACCTAAGAATCAAAAAGAACAGACTCTGGGCACCGTTGTTTCTAACCCAACCCCCCTCCTTCTCCCCCAGGGCTGGCTGGAGCCCAAGGCGTCTGGGTACAGGGGGCAGGTGCGGGTGTCCGCAGCCCCCAACCCCGTTCAGAAATCAGGAATTCGGTACTGAGCTAGCTGCCAAGAAACCTGGAGGTGAACGACCGAGAAGGCAAAGGCGACCCCCGATAGAGGGTCCCTTGGGGTGGGCTTGTGCGCCCACCACCCCGACCTCCGAAGCCCCCCCCCGGGTCCCGCCCCCCCCAGCCGTCGGGGGCGCAGCCCCTCCGGCCTCCCGGCCCCGCCCCCCGGCTCAGAGTTCCCCCCCCAACCCCGCTCCCCCCGCCGGCCGTCCGGGGCGCAGCCCCTCCAGCCTCCCGGCTCCGCCCCCAGCCCCGCCCCGCGGCCCACTCACTGGTTCCCGGCCGGGACAGCAGCGTCAGGAAGACGGTGAAGCCCAGCGCCACCAGGTGCGCCAGGATCCCGCTGCCCCTCCGCAGCCAGCGGCTCAGCCGCGGCTCCCCCGCGACCGCGGGCGCCGGACCCACGTCCAGGGGCTGCATGGCCGGGCCGGGCGGGCGCGCTCCCAGCGGCCGGCGCGTCTTCCGGGTGTGCGGCGCGGAGGCGGCGCGGCGGCCCCTCCCCGGGGACGCGGTGCCGGGCGCGGGCTCGCCCACAGCGCCCCCTGCGGGGGAGGGGGACGGCGGCCACCCCTGCAGCGGCCTCGCCCCACGCGGGCGCGAGCCCGGAGCCCGTGGAAATGACACTTATGGCGTTGATTTCCCCCGAGTCCCACTTGCCAGCCCCGCAGCGAGGGCGGTGCCAGGACCGGGCACCCTGGTTAACTAGGGCGGCCCCCAACCTCCTACCCGCTCTTCAGTGGAGCCTGCGGGAGTAAAGTTGCTCCCTGCCCTGTGCTGGCTGAACCCAGGTTTGGGGCCCCCGAAAGCAGCAGCAAGGCGTGTCTCACCCCCGCGGCCCCGTGGGTGTCCCAGGGAGATCAATGCAAGAATGAGGGTGCTGGGAGGTGAGCCCGGGGGCAGGGCTCCAGCACCCAGAGTTCTGTAGGCGAGGGTGCCTCTTCCCTCTCCACTTCCAAAAGGAATGTGGCCCTGCTGCACCTACCCCCAACTAAGGAATCCACCCAGGGGAGTTCCCGTAGGGGCAGATGCAGGGGTGAGACCAAGCCAGGGGCTCCTGAAAGTAGGGAGCTCCTTCCAGCCAGTGGCAAAGGGTAGGAAAGGCTGAAACAATTCAGGGCGGAGATGTGGACCCTGGGCTTCGGAAGCCCCTGCAGGGTCTCCAGGCCAGCTCCCAGAGACCCTTAGGGAAAAGACCCAAGAGGGAACCAGCGGGGGAGAAGCAGGCTCTGTTTGGGGGAGCCATGCTCAATCAGGGCCAGCACCCACTTAAGAGTCCCCTAGAGCCACTTCCAGAGAGGCTGGCCAGTGCCCGGCCATTCCACTCTGACTTGCAAGGCAGAAGATGCCAGTGGTGACTTTCCAGCAAACCTGGGCTCCCACTGCCCTTATCACCTCAGTCTGGGCTGGGGGGGCAGGGGAAGAGAAGGTACCACTCGGGACAGTAAGCAGACTCATTTCGTTAACATGGTTTTTTTCCCCTTTCCTCTTCCCCGTTTTCTATTTTGTACAATTTTCTTAGCAGCAACAGAATAGGGAGACAATCTTGAGGTATTTTAAAGACTTTTTTTTCTTAAAAAAAATAATATAAAGTTATAAAAAGCGGCAGCAGCCGGGGGCCCGGATCTGGAGGGAGGAGGTGCTGGCGGCTCCGTCGCAGGCACTTTCTCGTTAATGAGTTTTTGACTGTGGGAAGACAAGAGGCAAGAGGGTCAGGCTGTGGGTCCCCTGTCCTCCTGCCCAGCCAACTGTGGGGCCCATTAGTGCTCAAGCTTGGTTTCCTCCTGCTGATCTGGAGAGCAGAGCTGGGCACAGGGGGCTGTGACTCTCAGCCACAGGGGAAGCCTGGACAGTGGTGGACACAGGCATGCCCACCCAGGGCAGTTTCAAGTCCCTACTCTCTCATGGGTGCAGGTGAAGGTCTGGCTGTCGCCGGAACCAGGAGGGCGGCCTCCCTCCCACCTCCCAGGAGTCAGTCCTGGCGGAGCGCACAGGGTTCCCGTGCCAGCGGTGGATGAACACTTGCCTGGCATCAGAAAGCCTGCAAGTGGGCACATGCGCAAGGCGGCAGTCCCTGTTCTTCTGTCCTTCATGTCCCGAGACAGAACCAGCGAGCAAGACGAGCTTCCCCATCCTGTTGCCCATTTGGACAAACCACACAGCTCAGTCAACTTCACTGGCCTAATCATTCTCTTGGGGCCACACCCAGGGGTGCTCGAGGCTTATTCCTGGCTCTGTTCTCAGGGGACCCTAGGGGGTGCCGTGGACGGAACCCAAGCACCCTACCTGCAAGGCTATTGCTCCAGCTTCAGCCCCAGCCCTAACCACTCATATCAGAGCTTACAGACTCCAACTTCCTTTCCCTCGGGGTACAGAGGCTGCTCCAGTTCCTGGAGTGAGGGCCAAATCAATGCAGAAATCGGATTAACGGCGAGAGTGGGAGGCGAGCGGGTACAGGACCGGAGCCGAGGGCAAGGCGGCAGGGCTCGGCCCGAGACGGGGGCGGGCGCGGGCTAGGGCAGTGCGCACCGCACAAATGCTGGGGGCCGCTTCCCACGGGCGGGCCCTCTTTTCCTCGGAAAGGAGGGCCAGAGACCGGAGAGCGAGCTCGAAGCACGAGCGCCGCCCGGGTCGGCGCGGGGACGGGTCGGCGCGAGTCGCTCAAGGCGACAGCTCGGAGGCCGCCCCTTCCCCCTTCTTCCCTTGCCCGCACGTCCACTCGGCCCGGTGGGCGTGCGGCTCCCGGCGTGCCCAGCAGTGCCCGGCGGGGCGCGCGGCGGGTACCTTCAGCGTGGCACACTTGTCCTCGAAGGCGAGGCCCGGGCCCGGCTTCTTGCGGCGCGCGGGGCAGCCCACGTCGGCGGGGCCGCCGGCCGGGCAGTGCTTGGTCTTCGCCGGCCGGCAGTACGTGGCCAGGTTCTTCCGCTTCTTGGCGACCTCCTCCTCCGAGAGGCAGCCGGGGGGCAGCGCCTTGGCGGGGTGTCCGCCGCCCCCCCGGCCGTCCGGCTGCGGCGCCTTCGCCGGCGCGGGGGCGTGCGGGGCGGCGCGACAGTCCGGGGGCCCGGCCCGCTTCACCCGCGGACCCGCGGTCCCGTTGAGTCCCGGGGCCAGGGCCGGCTTCGCCTTGGCCGCGGGGCCCCGGCACCCGGGGGGCTTCCCCTTCCCGCCCGGCTCCGGCAGGCAGGTCCGTTTGAAGGGGGCGGGGCCGGGGGACGACTTCCGCTTCCGGGAGGGGGCCTCGGCCTCGGCGCGCTCCTTGCCCTTGGCCGACCTGCTGGCCTTGGAGGGCGGGAGCTTGCTGAAGGACGGGCACGGCGTGTTGGCGGGCAGCGGCGAGGTGATGGCCTGGCTGCCGCCCGTGCACTCGGCCTGGCTGCAGGCGGCCGCCACGCTGGGGGAGCCGGCGGGGTAGCTGGGGACCAGGTGGTCCTGTGCGGGGGGCGCGGCGGCCGGGCAGGCGGGCCGGGGCGCGGGGCCCGGGAGGCGCGGGCAGCTGCCGGTCGCCGAGGGGCTCCGGGGGGCGGCGAGTGAGGAGCCGACGACGTGGGGCGGAGGCTCGGCCGCCGGCGGGATCTTCCTGCAGCAGAAAGGGGGCGGCCGCGGTGATGCCACGCGGAGAGGCGGAGGGGCGCACGCGGCACCGGCCCCGCCTCGAAACGGCCCGCAGCGCCCGGGCACTGCTGCCACCTGCTGGCAGACGGCGGCCCGACCACTGGTCCGGGAGCCGTGGCAATGAACCGGCCCCGGGACTGGGCCGGGGAGCCGTGGCAAGGAAGCGGCGGGGACTGGGTGCGGGACTGGGTGCGGGGAGCCGTCCCCAAGGACGTCCCCAGCCCTAACTCCTCCCCGGCAAGGGGGCGGGACAGGGGAACCGCGTCCCCAGACCAACCCCTGCGTGGCCAGGCCTGGCCCCGGCCCTGGCCTCCGCACCAGGGCCTCCGCACTCGGGGTGAGGCTGGGGCGAGGCGGGAAGGATCGGGGCAGGGAAGGCTCTGGCCCGACTCACTTCCACATGTGCGAGCTGAGGTGCCGCTCCAGCATGGAGCTCAGTGCTGAGCAGAACCGGTCCAGCCGGCGGCTAAACACGTAGCATCCGGGACTCACCAGCCGGCTCCCAAAGGTGCAGAACTGGAGGCGGAAGGAGGGGCGGTGGTTAGCGGACCCCAGGATGCGGGGAGGGAGCCCACGCCCCAGTGATCTGACCCGTCCCACGCACCAACGGGCTCCCCCACCTCCCCCATCAGCCCCCAGCTGGTCCTTACCGCCTGCGGCCGTGGGGGCCGGGTGGCGTAGTGGCAGTCCGTGGGGAGGTGAGGGTCATCCGCAGCCCCCTCCTCCTCGCTCTCCTCGCTGGAGGCCTGGGCCCCACCCCGGGGCAGGGGGAAGGGGAACAGGCCTGGGTCTCCATCACCCCCACCGAGGCCTTCATCATCCAACTCGCTCTCAGAGGAGGCCTGGGACCTGAAGGGTCAAAGACACGGGGGATGTGGCAGGACTGGGTGTGGGCTGGTGGGTGGGGGTCCCTGAACCTGCCCAGCTCCAGAGGCCTGGGGGGGCACCTTGACGGGCCAGGAGACAAGCAGAAGCAGGGCAGGATGGGCCGGGAGCTGAGAAGGTCCCAGGGGCTCCTCTCCCCAGCCCTGCCTCCTCGGGGCACAATCTCGGCTCCAGAAAAGCTTGTGAGGGTAAGTGCCCTCCGCTGGCTCGGGTGCGCCCATCACCGCTCTCCACCCGCTCCTGCGTCACAGCTTCCTGGGAGCCCGTCTGCGGGCCTGGCCTGGGCGTGGCGTCTGCCCTCACACGTGGGACAGTGTGTGTCTCCTCTGGCCTCTGCAGAGGGGCCAGTGACTGAGCCTGCGATGGGACTGTTTCCCCCAGGGCCTGCCCTTGAGGCTCTCCAGCCACAGGCTCCGGTCTGCTGGAAGGAGCCAGGAGAAAGCTTTCACCCAACAGAGAGGCTGGGGTGCTCCGATGCGCTAGGCTAGGAATGGCAGAGGGCGGGAAAGGCCACCTACTGCGTACTCCGCCAGGAGCCCTGCCCACCGGCCTCCCCCCACACACTCAGCACCCTCCAGGCCACGCCCTGCGTCTGAGACCAGGAGGCTGATGGCCCTGGCCGAGGATCACAGAGACGCTGGCCCTGACCGAGGATAACGGAGACGCGTACCTGGGCAGTGCACAGTATGGGTAGGGCTGCTTGGCCCGAGCCGCAAGGGTGCTGCTGGGAGCAGCTGCCGCTGCCACGGCCTGGACGGAGGAGGGGGCCTCCTGGGCGGGGCGCTCGAGAGCCGGCTCCTTGCGCCCCGGGCTCTTCTCCTTGGGGAACTCCCCTTTGCGGGAGCTGGCCTTCAGCTCCGCCACTAGCACGTCAAAGTCCTTGGCCCGGCCCTGGACCTCCCGGCGCTGGTGCACCGAGTGGATCTAGAACACAGCAGGGTGGAGGGGTGGGGGTGGTGTGAGCAGAGCAGGGGTGAGGGAGAGCGGTGTGCTCTGGCCTGGGCAAGCGGAGAGAGAGGGGGTATGAGTGTGTTTGTGGGTGAGTCTGCAGGCCTTTGTTCCACTCCCCCACAGGGTCAGACCCCGCCTCCGGAAGTGTGTGTGGGGGCTCAGGAGCTCACCCCGGCCAACTGGGACTGGGGTCTGCAAGAAGGCGGCCCTCTGTCCCACTGCCTGCTCTGGCCAGCCCCCCAGCCCCCAGCCCCGAGCTGGATCTCCGCTGTCAGCGCCCCGCCCTCCTTACCCAGAGCCTGCGTCTGTGCTCCCCACCCCGAGGGCCGTGGGAGGGGGCTTACCTTGCAGGTCAGCAGTCGGGTACAGATCTTCTTGGTCTCGGGGTTGATCACCCCACACTGCCTGTTGAGGTCACACTCCTTCCCTGTGAGGACAGTGGCTCCCGTGAGCACGGAGGCCACTTCCAGGAGGCCCAGGGCGGGAGGACGTGGCGGGAGGGGCTGAGCCTCAGCAGCAGCCCCCCTGGTCCCCCAGTCCAAGCCACAGTCTGGCGGGGAAACTGCCCTGGGTCCTGGAACCACACCAGAGAGTCACCTGCTCGAGCAGGCTCGCTGTGGGGTGGGGGGGCAGAGCGGGGACCCTGAGCTGCGGAGAGGCGCGCTGAGCAAGTGGTCAACCTCTGGAACCCTGGCACTCCAAGATGCCAGGCCCAGCTGTGCTGTCAACCTCCCCCACAGGCACTCAGGGCCTGAGCAATCCCAGGGAGTCTGCATGGTGCCTGCCTGACCCCCCAGACCGCAGCTACTCACGAGCCATCTTCCGGTGGGTTTTGAGGGGCAGCCTGGCTCCCCCGGGCTCTTTTTCCGGGGGACTGCCTTCAGCCCGGGGGGTGCCCAGGCCCTCGCCGGGGGTGCTCTCGATGCTCTCTCTGCCTGGAGGTTCTTTCAAAGGGGGAACCAAGGGGGATTTCCCTGGGGAGTCCTTGGGGAGGCTGCCGGGCTGGCTGAGGAACGCTGCCGGTGGGGCCACCCTGATCCCCGGCCCGTCGGGTTTCGGGAGACCGGACATCTTCTCCAGGTTCACCACAGGCACGAAGAGGCTGCAGGGGGACAGCGAGCGCGGCCTGCGTCCTGCACGCCAGCCCCGAGCCAACCCCTTTCCAGCCTGGTATGGGGTGCTGAGAAGGACGAGGGGACCCCGTTCTCTGGAGCCCCCAGAACGGCAGCCGCCTCTGCTGTGGGCTGTGCCCTTGGCGCTCTGAAGGGTCCCACTGGGGCGTCATCTGAGGGGTCCCCCGCATCTCCTTACCAGAGGCTGTCCTTCTGGGTCTTCTCTGGAGGTGGGTGGCCACGGCTCCGGGACCCGTGGCCCTTCTCCCTGGAGGAGCTTCTGGCGGAACCCGGAGCCCTGCAAGCAGGGCCCTGCCCATTCACGACATGGCATTTCTGGGAGCTGGCAGGGGCAGGAGGGGGCGGCGGGGCTCGGGCGTAAAGTTTGCTGAGGGGCCCGTGTCTTCTTTCTGTCACCAGGATTGGAGAGAGGGAGCACGGTGAGCGGCACAAAGGGTCTCCTTCCCCTGCACCTCCCAACTCTGCTCGCTGACTCGGGCTCCGGGCCCAACTGCCCTTTCCCTGGCTTCTACACTCAAATCCACCCCTCCCTCGGGATGGTAGAGGCTCCGTGGAAGTCTCTAGACCCCGGCTTCCTGAGATCCGAGTTCTTCCCTTACCCTCACCCTGGGGACACTTAGCTTGCTCTGGTGATGGACTGGCCCTGGGTCCCTGGAACCTCCCACCTGCCATCCCTCCCCTCTGACCCCGTGCTCGCCTTCTCCCTGCCCCAGCCCCTCTTGCTTCACCCGGGGCACCCTCACCGCAGTGCTTCTGGAAAGCTTGAGGCTTCACCACTTGGCTGCAGTGGTTACACACAACCAAATAGAAGTCGTCATGGGCAGGGCAGTGCCCGAAGATGGACATGTCTGCAATGACAGAAGCCAGCCCTGTCACCGGGAGGAGGATCGTGCACCCCCACCGGCCCTCCTGGGCTTCTCTGTACCCGTCCTGGAGAGGGGGGGCATTCGGTGGCACCGCTGCCTGAGGCAGGCCCTCCCCCGTCAGGTCACGGGCCCCAGACCCTGCTGCTTCAGCAGCCACATCTCCCTGGGGTGTGTGGGGGGCCCCATCCCCCGGTGCACGGCCCCCACCTTCTTTGATCAGGGTCATGGCGTCCAGCTTCTTTGTGGATTTGTTACAGTCCTCCAGCTCGGGCCCTGGGGAGGAACACAGCTCACAGCACCACCCCAGGCAGGAGCCCCGTGCCCGCGCTATGCCCACTCCAGCACCCACTCCTCCCTCCTTGGCACTCCCTTCAGGGGCTGGCCCCCTGGGAGGGCTGTGGCCGCCTCTGCTGGCCCTGCCCGGCGGGCTCCGGCCTCTGCTAGACTTCAAGGAGGGCTAAGGCCCTGTCTCCCGGGCCTGCCTCCCCAGGGAAATGGACACGTTTTCCTACCACTCCCCGGACATTTCCCAGACGGATCCTGTCTGCTGCTTGGATGGTGGCATTCCCGACGGTCACCCTCCCGAGCCCTCGCAGTAACGAAAGTCAGTGTGGTTGAGCTCATGACCTCAGTCGCCCACCTGCCCACCTGGGTTGCCAGAGTGTTATCAAAGTCACACCTGGTTTCTTGGGGTCCCCCACGGACAGGATGGCCACAGCCCAGAAGCTGCTGCCTTCCATCTCCCAAGGCCCCTGGTCAGCTAAGCGAGCCTCTCCCCTCCTCCGGAGGGCTCTGGGCAAGGGCTTCCCTTATGACCTCAGTTTCTGGGTTGCTGACAAAAACGTCTCAGTGGTGTGAAGCCGCTTTAGCCCCCTTCCCTAGCCAACACCTCTCCCTCCCTCCTCAAAGCCCCCTCCCTGTCCCTTGGGAGGAGAAAAAAAATCAATTCTGAGTCACCAAACCCATCGAATTCCACTTCTGGTGCTCACTGCGCCCAGATCCTTACAAGGTCCCCACCCTTGCCCACCCAGCATGGGGCAGTCCCGGGAGGGCCTGGGCTCCCAGTGACCACTTGCAGATTTGCCCTTCGAGGACGAGAGGGCTGTTAACTGTCCTATATAATCCCCATACTCAGGGGTTGGTGGGTGCCTGCAAGAGGCCAGAGGTCACTCCTACTCCAAGTCCAGTGGAGATGCAGTGAGGACAGAGCCTGGCTGGGATCAGCGGTCTCAGAGGAGAACAGGTGTCATCAGAGACGTCTCCTCCCCCTCTTCTCACTTGCAAACTTCTTTGGGGGGCATGATACCTGCTGTCACCTCAGAGGCCACGAGGGCAGGTGCCCCCTGGGGCCCAGAAGACAAAGATCCAGAGAAGGGGCTGTCAGCCAGCTCACCAAAGGCACTTGTGGGTGGGGGTCGCCTCGAAAGGGCTCGGGGCCAGGGTGAGAGCCAAGAAGCAGGGCGAGAGGCCGGGAAAGGACAGGGGGGCTGGAGGCATAGCCGCGGGGATGGCCAGCAGGAGGGTGGGAGGATGCATAAATGGCTGGGAGGACAGGCTACTGCGGAGGGGAAGGGGGTCCGGCGGCACCTCGGCCGAGAGGCGGACAGAGAAGGAGCGGGAGGCGTGGGGCAGAAGGCAAAGGAACAAGGGCGGTTGGGAGGGGGGCACAGAAGTGGGGTGCGTGGGAAACACGTGGAGAGCACCGCCGCGGCTGGGGAAAACCCAAGGCAGGTGCCGGAGGGGCGGAAGGCAGAGCCCGGCGGGCGCGGCGAAAGACGAGGGCGTGCAGACGGAGGGCCAGCACAGGGCGCCCGGCAGCAGCAGACGTGGGCCGGGTGGGCTGCCGGCGGCGGGCCGGCGCTAGGACCCAGGGGCGCGAAGGCAGCGGGGCGGGCGGGCACTAGGACCCGGCGGGTCCTTTGTTCGGGGGGCCGGGGCGCCGGACGGCGGCTCCCGGCGGCGGCTCCCCTCCGCTGGCGGGGGCTCGGAGGGGGGAGGGGAGGCGGCGGCGGGGTCCCCGGACTCCGGGGGGGCCTCACTCACCGTCGGCCGCGGGCAGGTCGGCCCGCTCCACCCACGAGCTCCAGCTCTGTCCCGCGAAGTCATCGAGACTCGGCACCCGCCGCTCCAGAGCGGCCATTGCTGCCGCCGCGCGTTCACGCACCGCCATCACCGCCGCGGACGCGCGCCCGCCCCGGCGCCGCCGCCGCGCGGCCCCCGCCCGCCTGCCCGCCCGCCCCGCCGCGGGCACGCCTCCCCTCGCCCCCCGCCCCCGCGCCGGCCCGCTCTGCGCACGCGCGGCGCGAGGCCCCGCCCTCCCGCGCGCGCGGCCTTCTGGGAAGTGTAGTTCTAGCGCGGCCGCCTCCCGAGCTGGCCGCGGGAGCCCCTCCGAGACGCACCGCGGCGGGGAGAGGCGACCCCCACGCCCCGGACCCCCTCTCCTAACCCTCGCGCCCGCGTTCCTTGTGAGGCCTGCGCGCTCGCCCACTCCGCGCACACCCCAGATCCCAAACCTCTCTCCGCCCCGGACGCCCCTCCTCGCGGCGCCTCCGCCCGCGGGCTGGCGCCCCTGCCCGGGCTGGCGGCCGCGAAGCGACTTCGCTCCCCCGTAGATGCAACGGGGTAGGTGCAGGGAGGTGGGCGCTGTGCATCGGAAGGGCGAGGGGAGGGAGTCTGTAGGATGTGCTGAAGGACACAGGGGTTGGAGTGGGGGAGGGCGCCGGGCTCCGGCGATGCGCTTCCTCTCCGGGAAACCCACGCTGCCCCGGTGCACCGCGGAGGCTGGACGTGGGCTCGGCCTGGGAGGACCTCGCTGAGCTGACCGGGATCACCTGTCAGGATGACGGAAGACGTCTCGACCCAGAGCCAGCCCCGGAACTGGGGTGGCCCCAGGCTGCTGGTGTTCGCAGCGTCCGTGCTGCGCCTTCTCTTCTCAGCAAGGCGATCGATGCCCCTGTGCTGCTGCTTCCCAGATCCTGGCCGGACCCTGACTCCATCCATCACTTTGGCTTCTCTTTCTAATGAGTATTTTCTCTGCTGGAAGGGCTCCGACCAGAGCCTCGGCGTGAGAAGATTTCTCATCAGAGGTATCATTCTCCTTGCCAAGGCTGGGAAAACACCTTGATCATCCATCTCTTTCTTCTTCGCAGCTGTAACATTTCTTCCCACCCTCCCACAATCAAGAGACAAAAGCCTGTGCTCCCCAGCCCTCCTCCACCCCCCAACCCCCACCCCAGCACATCAGAAAAGAGAACTGATTTTTTTTCCCCTTCCTCAACCCTCACAACCTCACCTCATATTCATTCCTGCAGCTAAGGGGGAGCCAAATTCGAGACAGATAAGTCAAGGTCTGTGACTTCAAGACCTCAGACTTCCTTGTCATTTTCACAAAGCAGAGACTTAATTACTTCAAGGATAACCTCTGGGGGCAAAGACTCAGAACCAGACCCGAGAGCCACAGACGATCTCCAGGGAGCCGAGGGGCTGGTGAAGGAGAATTTTGCTCACCGTGCCCCATATATTTCCTGGGGAATGGAGATATAGCATGTGACTGTCCAAAGGGGGACACGGGAGCAAGTTTGCTCAATAAGACCTTCACAAGGCAAAAGGCAAAGCCTGCGGACCCTCGACTCCAGCCAGGAAGCTAGTCTGAGACACAGACAGCCAGAGAGCAAAGGGAAATAGCATTGTGGAGGCTGCACTTTCCCACCTTTTTGAGTTTGCTTCAAATTTGCTTGTGAGTCTGTTGCTCCAGCCTAATTGCTTCTGCCACAAGAAGACATGTGACCCAGAGCCAGAGAGATAGCTCAATGGATTGGAGTATACCCTTTGCATGCAGGAGATCTGGGTTCAGTTCCCAGTACTACCACTGGGTATGGCCCCAAAACATACCAAAAAATGTGGAAGAGGAAGAAGTCATCCACCTGGAGATTGCCAGTGGCAAATCTTCAGCCCTGAGACTCTTGCTGGGGTTCGGAATGGAATGACATCTTGGTGGAAATGTTAGTATTTGTCCAACTTTAGACAGAGTGAAGAATTACCAAACAAAACAAAACCAAAGATCCAATCCCTAGAAGGGCTCCAGTCCAGGCTCCTTCATGGCAAATGCTCAAAGCACTGTTTATTCAAATATGTAATAACAAGCACCAGAAAACAACATGCAGCATTCACTCTCCCCCCAGCCCACCCTTCTACCTACATCCTTGTAGGTAGAAGGCTGTGAGTATGACGGTGGCAGGAACTCTTGTTCAGGGAAGGTCCTAGATGGGCACCCTGGCAGGGTCATAGTTCACTAGAACAAAGGGCAAGTGTCTCAGCCTCCAGAAGCTGCTGGAGAAACCAGACACCAGGTCCTGCCTTAGGCCTCACTAGGCCAAGCAGAGATGCCAGCCCTAGTGGAAAGGACATTGTAATAAGGTTGGGTGGCCTCAGAGAGAGGCCACCACTAAAATCAAGGCTGTTGGGGCTAAAACCAAGGCAGGAAGCATTCCAAGCAGCCTTGGGGGCGGTAGCCTGTTGCTCCCCACTCCCACCCCTTTTCCATTCTCTGGAGGACCAGTTCCTACCATTAAAGCCCCACCCCACCCAGAATACTTTATCCCTCACATTTCAAATAAGTTATAAATACATACACAGAATCCAAACAAAGTTCCAGTAGAAAGACCCTGATAGGGGCCAGCCTGAAGAAAAGTGAAGGTCACTCCTTTGTTGTCTATGTCTTGGGGTGGGGGCTGTAGATGAAACTGCTCCCCTGTCCTCAAGTAACCATGAGGATGGCTTGGGACAGAGAGAGGGTCAAACTCATGTTCTCCCCCACCCGCTTCCCATCTTCTCCCTCCTCGAATTCCTTCCCCCAAGTTGGAAATACCTAACCCAACCAAATGCCTAGTTCTTTCACTGAAGAGCTGGATTGCCTGGGGTTGGGGGGGCGGGTGGAAATGTTGCGCTTATCCCATAAAATGGGGGGAAACTCTGAGCCAAAGAAGAAGCAACTGGCCCAAATTTAAAAGGCCTGACTCCCAGACACCCCAGTAATGCACAGGCCAACCTTGTGGGTGGCAGAGAGGAGGCAGGAGGGGGTGAATCTGTCCTGAGAAACGAGTGGCCTGGGGCCCAGGCACTGTTGGGATGATAAATGGGTCAACTGGCACTGGACTGGAAAATGGCTGGAGTCTTCCTTCGTCATCTCTCTCTGGGTGTTTTGTGGCCAGGGCCAATGGAAGGGCTTCAAGCTGGGTGGCAGCCCCAAGCAGCCCTTATTCAGTCAGTGCTGGCTGTCAAGTCTTGGGGTCCAGAGAGAGACTGAAGGAGATGTCAGGAAGAGGGGACACAGCAACAACACATATGGAACTGGGTCCCAAAGTGAAGAAGCACCAATCGCATAAGTCTGCCCTGGACTGGGGATGGGACCGCACCTGGGAGTAAGGGGGCAGGGAAAGAAAGGAGGGCCTGTTCTTTCATCGTGGGATATGTGGAAGTATGAGAGAGAGCCAGGAGGAGGGCTGGGAAGGAGAAGAAATGGGCCCAGCCATTCACGACCCGGGGCCTGGAGCAATGGGACTTTGGATGGTCCTTTGGGTTCATCCAAAGTCCTTCTCTGGCCCTGTAGGAATGAAAGGAGGCCTGGACAGACTTGGAAGTGACTCCTAAATACTTCCAGCTAAAAGGCAGGAGAAGGGAGATGGGCGTGTGAAAATGGACCAACAGCTTGCGTCTCCAAGTCCAAGGAGAAGAATGGGTCAGAGGGGAAGAGTTTCAAGGGCAAGTGTGAGTCTAGAGGTGACAGTTCCCGAGCCCTAACATTACTCCCACATCCTCGCTCCCCAATAGAAAAACTCATTCCCCAGCAAGCTTCCTATCTGGAGTTTCTTAAGGCTGTAACTGAGTCACAATTTATCTGCTTTGCCCCTGATGGTTTATCTAGGCCCCTGGCAGGCTCCACTGAATTCGGGGCTGTTTTCCAGGCTATCTGGGCTTCCCTGCTTCCTGGTGGGTACTCTGGGGACAGGTAGTGGTCAGAGGAGAGTGGGGGAAGCATTCTGAGCTGGCCGGCTGGAGGTCAGTACAGGTACAGGCCTGAACGACAGCCATTCAAGAGAGGCTGCTAACCACCGGAGTGCCCTCTATGTAAGAAACCAGGGAGAGAGCTGCCGGCCAGTTTCCCCAATCCCCTCTTTTATTGAAGCTGGACAAATTGCTGGAAGGACTGTTGGGAACCAGTGTCAGGACAGTGTTCTCCTGTCCCCAGCCCTCACCTGCTGCCGTGGTGCTCAGGCTGGAAGGAAGGTCCGAGTAAGACCGTAAGTGAGACGCCTGATTTTAGACAAGAATCATGGGGCTCTTGTCATCAGGGTTCCACCGAGGGCCACCGGAAGGGCTGCCCAGGTTTCCAACAGCTGACGCCTCTAAAACTCAAAGTCCAGAACACTGGGGGAGGGCCCTGGAGGAGGGAGAGGGCTGTCCTGGGAGCTGGAGGTGACTGAAGAGGTGCTGTCCAGGTCGGGGGAAGCCGGGGGTGCCCGCTTACTGCTTCTCCACTGCACCCTGCTCTGCGGCGCTCTCCTGGTTGGGGCTCTGGGCCTGGTCCTGGCCCTGCCCGTGCCATGGGGTCTCCTTGAACACAAACCAACAGTTCCCGGCCCACAGGAAGAAGTTGATGAAGCCAAAGAGCTGCAGAGACATCAGGGGACATGGTGAGAATAGCCTCAGTATAAGGGAACATGCCTCAGTATAAGGGAAGAGACCCAGAGGGTTAGAAAAACAAAGAACTGGAGAAAAAGGGCCAGTTTGAGGCTGACACCCTCCACAGGGAACTCTGCCGGCAGTAGGCCTCAACATGCACCCAGCCTGTAGCACGGTCACTAGAGGCTTGTGGCCCCAGGAGTGGATCTTGTGGAAAGCATAGTAAGGAGCAAGGGGGAAGTGCTTCCTGGTGCTTCCTACTGCTCAGGGCAGAGGGATACCCTGATCTTCCCCTGCTGCAGCCTCGCCAAGGAGTAGGTGTGGACAGAGCTGTCCAAGGTGCTTCTCTCCTGGGGTCAGAGACGCTGCCAGGTTCTATTCAGATACATTCCTTTTGAGGGTAGAAGGCCACACCCAACTATGATCAGGGCTTATTCCTGACTCTAGGCTCAGGGATTACTCCTGGCAGGGCTCAGGCGACCGTATGTGGTGCGAGGAATCTAACTGGGGTCAGCTGTGTGCAAGGTAAGTGCCTTAACCCCTGTATTATCTCTCTGGCCCCATCAAATATTTTCCAATATTAGAAAGTCTCTCAGCAGGAGGTATTTAGGGATAAGTGTACTGATGTCTGCAGTTCACCTGAAATGCATTAAGAAGATGGATTAATGGATGGAGAGAGGCAGAAAGAGGGATGTGACAAAACAGATGTAGAAAAGTGTTGATGGTGCTGTCTGAACTAGAACTACATGGGTGTTCATTGTAAAATTCTTCCAATTTTCTCTGTGCGTGAACATTTTTTTTAAATTAATTTTGATGAGGAGTCACATCCAGCAGTGCTCAGGGGCTAGCTCTGGCTCTGTGCTCAGGGATCACTCCTGATGGTGCTCGGAAGAACCACATGTGGTGCTAGGATCAAATGGAGATCAGCCATATGCAAGGCAAGCTCTGTAGCCCTGAACTCTCCCCCTGGCCCTGTGTGTAAACCTTTTTGCAATAAGATATGGGAACTGAGGGGCCAGAGAATCAGCAGGATTTCAGAAAGGTCCAGAAGATTCTCTGCTGTGCACTCATCCACTTCCCCTGTGGATCACATGGAAAACTATTTCACTTTCAGGGTGGGGGGCTCGAGCTTCTGGAATGACAGGGGCACATGGAAACCTCAGGCCTCAGCTCTTATAAACTGGTAGGAAACTCTTTTGATGTTCAGATAACTGGGCTGGCAATTATGTGCATGCCAGATGGACTACAACCCCCTTCCCAACACACACACACACACACACACACACACACACACACACACACACTGCTCGAAAGCAGAATTCTTCCCAGTCTGGGAAGCCTGGGAGACCCTGAGCCTGCTCTCAGCTTTGAGCACAGCCCCACCCCTGTTCCCACACCAAGTGCTCACATGTTAATGCCTATGTAAAGAGGCCGGAAGTGTGGCTCTAGGAGAGTCTAGAGGTGGGGGAGTGGGGAGCAGGGTGGGGAGGTGGAGCTCAGGAGAAGGAAGGAAGGGGAGGCTGGTGGCTCTTGAGTTTCCCCAAAATGCCTTCCCAGGGTTCTGGGGTGGGGGTGGGGCCAGGAGCTGTCACTGGGCTGAGGGATGCTCCAGCTGTTGAAACTCCCTGGGATCCCCCTCCAGCTCCTCTCGGATCCTGCAAACGGGACAGACCTAGGCAACCTGGCCAGCACGGCATCGTGCAGTGGCCTCAGTCTCACCACAGAGAGGTTGGCCAGTCCCATGGAGGGCGTGGCCCCGGCACTGCACACCGCGTTGTCTCCGTGGCACACGGACATGGCTGTGATCAGGCTGGAGGGCCTCGTGGCACCCTTGACATCCGTCAGGCCCTTGCCCCAAGCGGCTGCAGCTACCAGCCAGAAGAAGGTGAAGGAGACTGTCACACAGAAGTCCTGGGAGGGGCAGAGAGACAGGGAAGATGCTCAGACAGTTGCTTGGTCCTGCTTCTTTTTTATTTTTATTTTTTTCCTTTTTGGGTCACACGTGGAGACGCACAGCACAGGGGTTACTCCTGGCTTTGCACTCAGGAATTACTCCTGGCGGTGCTCAGGGGACCATAACCATATGAGATTCTGGGAATCAAATCCGGGTCGGCCACGTGCAGGGCGAATGCCCTACCTGCTGTGCTTTGGCTCCAGTCCTGGTCCTGCTTCTTTTTCTCTGGTCACTTGCAGTAGGATCCTGGGGTCCCAGGAAAATGGCTTCTTCCATCCCACCCAAAACCCAGAACCTCAGGGAGCCTGACTCATCCTGTGGCGTTTACTCACCACCAAAGAACCTGCCCCCATTGGCCAGCCCTGTCCAGGTGCTCAGAACCCAGGTGCAAGCAGTGATGCCCCAAGGCTTCCCAGAATCACTAGGCGGGAGGTTTCTCTTTCCTTTGTTCAGATAGGCTTAATCATTTTTTTTTTCTCTTTTGGGATCACACCCAGTGATGCACAGGGGTCACTCCTGGCTCATGCACTCAGAAATTACTCCTGATGGTGCTCGGGGAACCATATGGGATGCTGGGAATCGAACCTGGGTTGGCCACGTGCAAGGCAAATGCCCTAACCGCTGTGCTATTGCTTCAGCCCCTTAATCATTATTGTTGTTGGTGGTGACGGTGGTTGGTTTGGGGAGTCACACCAATGGAGCTTGGAAGGCCATGCAGTGCCAGGAATTGAACCCAGTCCTCCAGCTTCTGCAGCATGTGTTCCACCCTTTAAGCTCCCTCCCTCACCCAGGACAGGTGTTATTTTGATCCCTATTTGATACTGGAGAAAACGGAGGCCTCCAGAGCCAAGGGAATTGTTCAAGAGCCCGCAGTCAGTGAGGGACTGAACTGCAACGGAAGCCGGATGGTCTGGCCCCAGAGCCTGCAGGTCAGCTTGGCTTTGTGTCTCCTAAGAACTGGGGGCCTTGTCAGAGTCAGTGTCCGAAACTGAAGGCCTCACGGGGGGACCTCCCCTCCTGCTCTGATCTCAGCTCCTCAATCTCCGCCCATCTCCTCCGGTCCACTCACCACCAACGGAAAGCGCCGGTTCTCTGTGTAGAGTACATGGAAACGCAGGTAGAGGACAAGTGCAGCCATGGCATAGAAGAAGGAAAAGATGCCCAGTGTCACAAAGAACTCGGCGGGGGCAGAGAAGTCCCCCAAGAGATGCATGGTCTTATAGGTGTCATCCTCACAGTAGGGCATCTCATACTGGACCCGGTTCAACCTACGGGGGGCGGGAGGAGGGAGACCATCCTGAGTTTGGCTAGCCTCTCTCTGGGGAGACTCTGCCTGCCCTGGAAGTAGTTCTGTTTGAGCTCTCACCTTGGGACTCTTACAGAGACAAGAAGGGGGCAGGGGACGGGGGCAGGGGATGCTCCTAGAGAGAACCTTGTGGTCTAGGTGGCAACTTCCCCAGAATTCTGGAAATTCAAACCCAACTCCTGTTCAGCCACCACCACTCTGCTCAGAGGTGGGAGGAGCATTTCCAAGTATATGAGACCCTTCTGGTCCCAGCCACATACATAGAGCCCGTGTAGCTCTGGTTGTCAATTGGTGATTGGCTGGCAGTCTTGTTCTTGAAAAACACCAACCCACAGTGACCAATCAAGGGTCGCAACACCCATTCTCAGGTCCTGTTTTGACACCCAGTGAGACTGAAATAGACAAAATAAGAGAGAAAAGTCTCTAACTTGGCAGTTGGTATTAGAAATTTCTAGAAAAGAGAACCCCAACCTCTGAATAATTGGGCTCTCCTTTGCGAAGTACTCAGGGATGAGTATAATTTCCTCCTCCTGGTCCAAGCCAGCCTCCTTGTATTCCTGTGAGAGCCAGTGGGCATGATACATCAGCTCAATTCAGACCACAGAGCTTGAAGTTTCCTGAGGAAGCTTGGAAGGCAGAGACCTCTCCTATTGCCCCCCCACAACCACCCCACCACACCCCTGTCCACAACCCTGCAGCTTCACCACGAAGCTTTGGAGGTCTGCCCCAGGAACTGTGCTCACTGCGCTTGGTTATCTCAGGCCTGCAGTGGGATCCTGACCCTGGAGCAGCCTCTCTGAGCTTCCCAGTATCTCTCAGGTCAGGGTGTCTGATTCCAAGAGGGCAGTAAAGAGTCCCATCTTGAAACTCTTTAGATCTGAAGTGGCATTTGGTCTTTGGGTTTCTCAAGGAAGAGACTGAACTAGTTCCATGGATGTGGGGTGAGAGTCAGTGCAGCTTACCTGAAGGGATAGCCGAATGAAACAATGATGGCGCTCACATCCTTGGCATCGTTGTTGCAACGAACCAGTGCTCCTGTCTCCCCGCTGTAGGAGCCGCAGGACCCGAAGGCGAAAATAGCAAAGAGCTGAGAGGAAGAGTGAAGCCCCAGGTTGGGTCAGAAGGCTTCAGGTGGCCAAACTCAACCCCTCCAGAACCTCTGTCTGATTCCCAGCAGGTGCAGAGATGGGAGTAGGGTTTTCTTCCATTGAGTTCCCCTGATTCCCATTGGTTTTTCAACCTCAGGCCACTGTACAGGGTGCTAGACAAGATAGCCCAGTGCACAGGGCTGACCTGATGTCAGAGGGAGCAGAAATGAACAGTATTCAGGTCTCATTGTCGGATATGACATTAGGGACCAGAGGTACCTCCTTAAGAGCATGACTAACACAAGACAATTTAAGCCTTTGGAAACGTCTAGCTCAAAGCTGAACTTGAATTTCTTCCCCAAGGGAGAGGCAGCCTAGAATAGATTCCCTGCACCAACCTCCATTAAGCAAACATGGAACGCTTTCCACTTCTCCTTTGACTCTTTTGTTTCGTTTTGTTTTGGCTTTTTGGTGTTGCTCAGGGGTACTCAGGAATTACTCCTGGAGGTGCTCGGGAGACCATATGGAAAAACAGGGATCAAACCCGGGTTGGCCAGTTGTGCAAGGCAAACACCCTACTCACTGTACTAGCCCTCTCCTTTGACTCATGCTAATACCTTGTTACTAACTTCCAGTGGCCTCCTGCTAGCTGGGAGATAAAGGTGGAGGGGTCACCTCTGGCCAAGCCTTGGGGTTCCCAGCTGCTGTCCTGTGGCCCCCCAGCCTAATTTCTCCTTTGCAGTGGCATGTTTCCTTACAGCAACCGTGCTGGCTGGGTTGCTGCTGGCAGGGCTGGCTCAGGCCCAGAGCAAAGCACCCTCCACTTGCTTTATCAGCCTTTGCTTTCCCCAGTATTGTTTCCCTGTGTTTTATCTATCTGCGGCCACTGACATTTCTCAGCCTTCTGAACCAGAGGTGTTTCTGATTGCTTGAACTGTTTTCCTCTTTACCCTTCATCACCTTTACTAAGCCTTCCGTCTGCAGTGAGGTGAAATTCCCTCATCCTGTGATATGTTTCCCAGGGAAATAAACTGCATCAGGGAGGAGAGTCGAGTGCTCTCTCTCTCTCTCTCTCTCTCTGATTTTGAATCCTGCAGTGCTCAGGGCTGCATGCAGGACAAGTACCCTGCCCACTGTATTATCAATCTAGCCTCAAAGTTGGAATCTCTTAACCCCCACATCTTCTGTCCAGATCTGTATGCTGACCATTGACTTGTTGCTGAGCTATCATACTTAGTGAGCCCTGATTTTATTTTATTAATCGTTCATTTGATGCATTTCCCTAGGTACCTGGAACAGCTCATCTATATCTTGGTCCTGACTCCAGAGTTTAGAGTTGCATGCACATTATGTTACCAATTCTTGAAGTGTTATGAAGTAGAGAGAGACTGGGATTAGCAGTCTGGAAATCTGGGTTCTGGCTCTAGCTGGCTAATCTAATAAATTTCTCTGTAAGTAAGCTGTTCTAGTCAGTTGCTCTGCTCTCTGGTGAAGAGGTAGAGTGGGAATGTTGGGGCCTTTTTGGCTCTGCAAAGCCCTTCCTCTTGCAGCTAACACCATCGCTGTGCTCTTGGCTGGCCTTGTCAGCAGCTGTGCTCTATCCCTGGGTGGTGTCTGGTGCCACTGCCCCACCCAGCGCTGCCTGGCCTGGCAGGATTTCTCCATGCTGGAGCCACTGACCACTTTCTAAAGGTCATAATGGCACCTCTCTATTTCCGGGAAGTTTCATTCAGAGAAATGAGAATAGTCTCCTTTCTTTTCCTTTCTTTCTTTCTTTCTTTCTTTCTTTCTTTCTTTCTTTCTTTCTTTTAATATCAAGGAAAGAGCATGACCTGAACAACCTCTTCATCAGTCCCTAAAACCCAACCAACCTCCTCTGACACTGCACAGGGTGCAGGAAAGCCCTGTTTGCTCATCTTCTTGATAGCAAGAAGTTGCCTAAAGGCTCGATGCACCACCCTTTCCATACTCTGGCTAGCTTTAGGGTGTGTGTGTGGGGGGGGGGGGCTCTCTCATCCTTCGTTGGAGGAATTTACTCTTTTACTGTCAACTCTGAGTCTGATTCCTTTATTCCCCTCACTTCTGGGAACCAGAATTGGAAATGATTAGGGCAGCACATTAGAAGAAGGGTAGTATGTTAAAAGGCAACTGTTGGCAGTGGAGTCAGTGGAAGGATCTGAGCAGAGCCCCTTCACCCACAAAGCAGGGGTCTCGGACTGTGCACTGTTCTCCCCAACTCCCTCCTGCACAGTAACAGAAAGAGGGAATTGGCTGACCAGGATTTATGTTCCTGGCACCATCCTAGGCATTACTATTTGGTAGAGAGCGAAAGAGAAAAAAAAATCTCTTTCTGGAGCAAAGTCTAGAGCTACATGCCCCAGCACTCAGCTGCGAGCTGAGAGTAGCTGTCTACATGGAAATGCAGTTTACAGTCAAGCTCAGCAGTCACACTAGCCATTTTTTAGTATGTAAGGACCACTTGTGATGAGCAGGACACACACTGGACTATATCAATTAGAAAAACTCCCATCATGGCTCTGAGACTTGCCCAAGGTCTAGAGCAGTATCTCCCAAAGCTTGGAGATACTGCTTGGAGTGTGTGTGTATGTGTGTGTGTGTGTGTGTGTGTGTGTGTGTGTGTGTGTGTATCATGTATCATATGTATTCCCCATGGTGCTGGAACCATGAGAAGAAAGAGTAGCCTTGGGATAGATTGGGAGGTGCTTTCTGTTTGTTTCATTAGTAAAGGTAGATTTCCAGGGGGTGCTGAGGAATTTTTTTTTCTGGAAAAAAAAGGGAGTAGGTCAAATAAATTTAGGGCCCTGGAGGTTCTGAAAATCCTGAACCCTGCTTTATGATTCCTCAGAGAACAAAAATATGCCCACGACAACTTCAGAATTAATTTTATTCTTTTCTCTTCTAAAAGTCAAGAATCACTAAGCACCTTCTGGCACTCTTTATTCACCAGAATATATGGTTAAGTCTGAACATCACACAAGCAGTGGGTGTCAGATAACAGACAGCTTGTTACATAGGTGGAGGAAGGGAAAAGTTGGAGGAGAATATCACAGATTTACCAAACAGCAGAGCAAAAAGGATCAAGATGAGCAACTCAAACCATCTCACTTCACAAATGTGAAAAATAATGCCCCCAAAGATTTTAGATCCCCGGCACCCCTTATAGTACTACAGGCCCTGCCAGGGGTGATCCTTGGCTCTGCAGCCAGGAGGAAGCCCTGAAAACTGCTGGGTGTTGCCCAAAACCAAAACAACACACAAAAAATGATTAAGTGTTATTCCAAGGTGATGTTTAGCCCCTCTGAGAGACACTCCACATTGGCATCTCCTGATGGCTGGTCTTTCTACTCTTCTTGGCATCTCTTTCTGCTCCATTAATACCCAGTGACTCTCTACTCTATGCCTGGTATGGAGACGCGAAGGAAGAGAGCAGCAGTGTGCCGTTAGGAGCTTCTGACAAAGCCATAGAGACAGTACAGTGGGTTAGACTCTGGCCTTCCCACAGCTGGGTTTGATCCCTGCCACCCTAGGTGATCCCCTGAGCTCCCGCAAGAGTGATCCCTGAGAACAGCTCCAGGAATAAACCCTGAGTACAGCTGGATGTGACCTTAAAGCAAACAAAAACGATGTTTATAGTCTGAGAGAGTGTCATACTGAAACAAAACCCCGAATGACAGTTATTAAGGGGAAAATGAGAAAGAGAAAAAATGAGAGAGAGAGAGAGAGAGAGAGAGAGAGAGAGAGAGAGAGAGAGAGAGAAATAAAAAGTACCTGGATCAGTACTTTTTTTTCTTTGCCCAAAAGCAAACAAAAAAGATGCTTATAGTCAGATAGGAAAGTGTCATACTGAAACAAAACCCCAAAATGACAGAGTTACTAAGGAAAAGAAGGAGAAAGAGCAAAACAGAGAAAGTGAAAAAAAGGATGAGAGAGAAAGAAAAAAGAGAGAAGAGAGGAATAAGGAAGTGTGAGAAAAGAAAAGAGAAAGAAATAGAGAAAGCACAAGAAAAGAGAAACAAGAAAAAGAGAGAAATAGAAAGAAAAAAGATAAATAGAGACTTGTACAAGGGCTTAATGGCTCCAGGGTGAAATGCAACAATCTTACACACTTTCCTCACTTTCCTCTAAGGAAACTTTTTTGGATCATTTTTAGTGGACTATTCGTAACAAGCAACACAAAATAAATTATTTAGGCCAGACTTTGGGGACAGGCTTTGGAGGTCAGGGTAGAAATATTCAAAATATGGTGGTGGGAAGGGTAATGGTGATAAGATTGGTGTTGGAATATTAAATGCAATAAATTATTGTGAACAAGTTTATAAAAATAAAATAAAATTACAAAAAAGATAGAGAAAGGAGGGAGAGAGAAAGAGAAAGAAAGAAAGAAAGAAAGAAAGAAACAGGATAAAGAAAAGGAAAAGAGGAGAAACAAATAGGGAGAAAATGAGAGAAAAGAAGGAAGAAAAAAGAGAAAGTCATGAAGAGAGAAAAGGAAGAAAAAAGAGAAAAGGGAATAGATAATGAAAGAAAAAGAAACAGAAAGAGGAAAGAAAGGAAAGGAAATAGAGAAAGAAATAGAAAAAAGAAAGAAAAGAGAAAGCAGGAAGGAAGAGAGAGAGAGAGAGAGAGAGAGAGAGAGAGAGAGAGAACAAGGAGAAAGAAATCCCTACTGTGCTGGGTAGAATAAGGGAGGGGTGAGGCTTTGGACCCTCCACCCCCAGCCCTGTTCTTCTGCACCAGATGTGCTGCTTTCAGCAGCTGTGCCAAGGATCCAAGCTGCTGGCAAGTGTGACACAGGACAGAAATGGCCTCTGCACTGAGCGCCAGCAGGACTGAGTAAAGGAGCTAAAATAATAGGAGTCGGGGGAAGGGGACTCAGCAGCCTTCCTCCTTTCAGAGCTAGATGGCGGGAACAGTGCCCTCCCCACGCGCCCCATCCTCCTCCTGACGTTCCTTCCCTGTCCTTCAGAAAGGGGACAGAGGAACCTGCCAGCTGGGCACAGGGACAGGTTCTTGGGCTGACTTTAGGGCTGATTTGCTTGTTGGGGGTAACCCCAAGAATAGTAAACTGCCCGTGAGTGCAGGCACAGAGAAGACAAACTGCCACCAGACCTTCCTCCTGTGGCGTCTCCTTGGTTCTGTGGACTCTGATAACCTCCTCTTCTCCTTCTCCTTCTCCTGTTTTTTTTTTTGAGTCACACCCCAGTGGTGTTCAGGGCTTACTCCTGGCTCTGCACTCAGGGATCATTCCTGGGTGCTCAGGGGACCATACTGGGTGCTGGCGATCAAACCTGGGTCTGTTTTGTGCAAGGCACCTTGCCTGCTGCACTATCACTCCAGCCCCTCTGGTGGTCATCTGCCTTCCCCATACCTTCTTCATACTGCTTCTTTTCATTATTTATTTATTTTTATATATTTATTAATTTTTGGATTTTGGGTCATACCCAGCAATGCGCAGGGGTTATTCCTGGCTCATGCACTCAGGAATTACTCCTGGTGGTACTTGGGGTACTGTATGGGTTGCTGGGGATTGAACTCGGGTCGACCGTGTGCAAGGCAAACACCCTACCCACTATGCTATCATTCCAACCCCACTTGTTCTTTTTTTTTCCCCACTTGTTTTTATTAGAGTCACAGAAATGATTTTTAACCTTAGTGGTGATTTACTGGTTAAAGGTACTCCCAGTTAAAGAGAATTTGACTTTTTTATTGTGGGAACAGTGACTGATTCAGGTACTTCTTCTGGACCTTATACTCTGGTTAATGATTTGGCATTGATATCTGAATAACTTCACCAGAGGACACATCTCATTGACAAGCTGCTAAAGCTGGGGGCAAAGCAGAAGTTCAAGGGTGAGAAGAAAGGAAACCACATCCCTCCTGGACTGCTGGTAGTCCTGAATGCTTGACCCTAGACAGATCTTACATCTTACATGAAGTCCTCCCAGAATGCCAGTGAACTACAGATAAGAAAAGGGAGACCCACAGACAGCCAGAGCCATAGTATGGTGGGTAGAATGCCTGCCTTTCACACATCTGACCTGGGTTTGATCCTCAGCATCTCATATGGTCCACTGACTGCCATTAGAAATGATCCTGGAGCATGGAGCCAGGAGTAAGCCCAGAGCACTGCCCGGTGGGCTCCCCAAACAAAAACAATAACAATCTCCCCAAACAAACAAATTAAAGGGAGACTCACAGAGATTTTGTCACTTGCCCTAGGTTCCACAGCTTAAACCTAGGAGACTGGATTTAAATACAAGCCTGTAAGACCTCAAAGTCTTCCTTCTTTCTTTTTAAAAAAGATTACTCCTTCAGCACATTCTCCGTCCTGGAGACTGGCTCACAACTTGACCTGGAATGTGTATTCTTGGGCTTTTTCCCCTATGGAAAAGCCTATGTTCTCTCTTGAACATGCACCTCTCTCTCTGTCTCTCTGTCTCTGTCTCTCTCTCTCTCTCTCTATCATATTTCTCTAAATTTCTTCAACTAAAGAATGACTTTAATTTACTTCTTTAATAATCGATCTATACTCATATTATTTGATCACCTTAGTATAGATTAGGGAAACTTTAGAATCAGAATTAAGGTGAGATCAATTTGTAAATTTCATTTCTTTCTGTTTTGTTTTGCTTTTGGACCATAGCCAGTGGTACTTGGGGGCTACTCCCAGCTCTGTGCTCTGGGTCATTCCTGGTGATGCTTAGGGCCACGTGATGCCAGGGACTGAATGAGGATGCTCTACGCAAGACAAGTCTCTTCCCTCCTGAGCCACCTCTGCAATTTCTGAACTTTAAAAAGACATTCTAGGGGACCTCAGTGATAGTACAGCAGGTAGAGCACTTGCCTTGCATAAAGCTGACCTGTGTTCTAGCCACAGCACCCCACATGGTCCCCTGAGCTGTGACAGAAGTATCTCTGAGTGTAGAGCCAGGAGTAATCCCTGAAAACCTCCAGGTATAACCCTTTCCCCCCCAAAATTCCCCCCGAATAAAAGAAATAATACAAAGACACAGTAAACAAGCCCTTGAGTAGGAAAAGAATAATGTTATTTTGTTAGCTCGGGTTCCAGTAAAACCTTTGTTTTATTGGTAATAAAGACAATAAAATTTTTCAATTCTCATTTCAGTAACTTCAGGATTGGGGGGGTCTGGAGAGCTAGTACAGTGGATAAGATACTTGCCTTGCATGCTGCCGACCCAGTTTTGATACCCAGCACCTCATGTTGTCCCCCCAAGCCCTATTAGGAGTGATCCCAAAAGAGTAGACCCTGAGCACCACCAAGTGTTACTCTCCTGGCATGCAACAACAGCCAAAAATTGTGTTTACTTTTCCTTTCTTTTTTCTCCTTTTCTAGTCAGTTGCATTCGATCCCTCCAAGCTGAAAATAAGTCAAAATCCCAAATGACATTCTCACTGCTATTTCTGACAAGGTTCCCAGGCACTTTTATGTTAGCACATATGCAGAGACTGGGAGCAAGGGAAACCCACGCTCTGAGCTCAAACCACCAGGACATTAATTAAGCAAACTGTCTTTATGTGATGTTACCATTGAAGGCTGAGCTCAGACTGTTGCTCTAAGTTCCTGGAGTCAGCACTATGAGAGGACAGTAGCAGCTCTCTGTGAGAAGTTAAGAATCCCAGAAGTCAAGCAGAACTTAACCTTCGGGTATCAGTGATAACTCTGGGAGGAGGTGGATAATGTCCAGGAATTGCTTTGTGCGGTCTTTCTAGAAATATTGAACTATTGGCAGAAGGAGATATAAGTTGATCAAAGGACAGAAGGGCTGGAGAGGGGAGCTGTTTTGGTAAGAGATTGGGTCTGGGGCCTCGTCCATGCAAGGCACGTACTACTACGGCACTGAGCCACATGCCCTGCCTGGAAAGGAAGCTTTTTAGAATCCCCCCATGGAAGACGATTCCTTAGTCTAATAGCCTGATTGTTTCCTTCATCCCTTGACAGTCTTTCTCAAATTTCCCTTAGAGCCATTTGTCTAGTTTAACGATCAAATTGTACCCTTATATTCAGGTTCTGCTCCCCTGGAGCACTCATAATGGCTCCCGGTTCTGAATGACAGATACTTGGAGTCTTAATAGCACTCTTAAATAGCCCCCTCTGGTGCCCAAGAGGTGGTTGGGAGCAGGGACAGGGAGCCAGGGAAGAGCTCGCTCAGCACTTGATCCGACTGTTCCTGGACGAGTGGAAAGTCCCCCTACAGTTTGCTCTTGGAAGCTCCCCAGGCTGACCCTGTAGCCCCACCTAGAGTCTCAGCTCTCTGGAAACAACCTTAAATGTATTGTTGTCCTGAAATTGCAGATTTGTGGACTCACAATCACAAATTAGGGATCAACGACACTGTGTGGAGTTCCTACCTCCAAAAAGTTAACAGCCCTTTAGAACTCAATCCTTAGGATAAATGGTAACTTATTCCCTAGCTGCATTCTGTGCAGAGTTCTTTAAGTTATTCTGGTGTATGGATGATCTAATTTAGATTTCTTCAAAGAGTGACTGCACCTGTCCACGTTCCTACACTGTACCCAGGAGGCCTGGTCCTAGATTTTGGGGCCATACCCAGTGGTCTTCCTGGCTTACTCCGGGCTCTGCTTTCAGAGGTCATTCCTGATTCGGGGTTTGGGGGCCATATGTGGTGATAGGGATTGAACCCTGGTCTATTGAGTGCAAGACAAGTGCCCTACCTGCCATACTATTGCTCTGGCTTCTGGCCTGGGCCCTAGGAAGGACAGAGAGTATAACAATACCTCAAAGTACCAGTGAAGCAAGAAGATAGTATTAGCCCTCTAACGATATAGGGGAAACTCAGGTCCTGGACAAGTGGTTTCTTCAAGGTCACGAGGGGTAAACCAAGAGAAAGATGATGTTTACAACGGGTCTCTTCCAATTCATTGCAGACCCTAGGGGAACCCTAGGGACAGTCTGCTCCCCATGTGGCTAATGTTGGAGAGAGCAACCCCAAGAAGTGATTTGTCCAAGGTCACACGTCTGGAAAAAACAAGTCTAGTTTTTTGAACCAGGCCCTAGCTTCCCAGTGCAATCTTCCAGGTTTAGTTTTCAATCACATTTTAAGGTGCGCTGTGATTTTCAGTGTCTTCTTTTTCTTTCATTTACACCTACAGCCCAAAGCGCCATTCATTCATCCACTCCAATGTTCTGTTCCAGGGACTCCGATTACTCTAAGGCCATGCAGGCCCCTGTCCCACCCCATCCCCAGCACCCCCTCCCTTTCAAGGCGTCCGCTTCCAGGATTGGGGGCAGTGAGCCGGCCGCCGCCTGCCTCCTGCCTGCCCTTGTCCTCCGTGGCTTTCCCAGGGAAGAGTGGACCTCGTCCCTCCTGCCCTCCCCCCTCCCGCCACCGATGAGTGGTATGTGCAGGATCAGGGTTCTGGGAAGGTTACACCCGCCCGCTCGCCCGGGTGAAATGCGAGCGCCCCGGGCAAAGGCTCCTTGCACATAGAAGGACCGAATCCGGCGCTGCGCAGGCCCTCGCAGCTGGCCCTCCCGCCCGGCCAGTGCAGGAGCAGCGCCCCAGCCCGCCCCTCCCCCGCCCACCTGTCGCCGCCCCCCACCCTTCCGCGGGGGCCCGGCCGCAGCGCCTCCCCACCCCCCGCTCCGACCAGATTGCTTCGGGTCGGCGTCACAGCCTCGGATCCTGAAATAGCCCGTGGCCGGGGCAGAGACTTACCCACTGGAGAACTTTGATGAAGCCCAGGGGCTCCTCCAGCCGCCGCCAGCGCAGCCCCACGAGCAGGCGGTCCACCTGCGGAGACGGGGGAGGACAGGGTCAGCACGGGGGTGGGTCTGGTGCCCCCGGGGCGCGTGCGGCGGGGCCCGGGTACCTGCTGGCGCGGCGACTTGTCGGCCGTGCGACCCGGGCTCTCCGTCGAGGACATGCTGCGGGCTCGGCGGGGCTGGACGCTGCGGGCAGCGCGGGCGGGCGGCGGGCTGCGGGGCGGGCACGCGGGCTGCCGTCGGGGGCCCGGGATCCAGGCTGGCGGGTGGGCTGCGGGCGCGCGGCCGTCGCTCGGCCCCTCCGGCAGCAGAGAGCCCCCGAGTCCGATTCAAACTTCTGTCAAACTCGGGAGCGCACTGGGCGGCCGGGTCACGTGGCCGCGGGCACCCTCCTCCCCACCCACCGCGCTCGCGGGGCTCAGCCGGCGCCCGCCCTTAAAGGGCCCCGTGGCCTCGGCGGGCCGCTCCGTCCGCAGGGGCGTCCGGGTGCTCGGCCGGAGCCAGCGAGGGCGGGGCCGGCAGCACCCCAGCGGCTCCCGCTCACCCCGGGGCGCCCGAGTCCCCGACTTCTCTGGGACGGATTCGCAGCCGCCCCGCGCGGTTCGTCCTCTTCGCACTCCATCGTGCCCAAACGGGTGCTAAAACACCTAACGCGTTTTTCGTAAGGTCTTGTCGGATCTGGAAAACGGTGCTAAAACTTAGGGTGCTCAAACGGCTAGCACAAATCTAGAGCTAGCTCAAAGGGGGGAAAAGAAAACGGTGTGTGTGGGGTGGGGGGAGGCGATAGGCGATGCATTGCTCACTGCTTTTTTTAGGCGCTCCATGTGCGGTGCTGGGCCCAGTGGTTCAGTGCTTGGGTGCGGCGCTGCGATGCTGCCCGGCCCGGCCCGAGAGGTGCTGGAAGCCCGCAGGGCCACACAGTGGGTCCCCCGCACTCCCTTTGGTGTTTGGGGCCGGGGAGCAAGCGGTGCTCGAAGGACCTGCGCTGCAGATCGACGGATCTGTCTCCCTGCGCCCATGGATTGCTCATTTTTAATTCTGTCAAGTCTGGTGTTGGTTCATTTTTTTTTTCTTGATACCAGGGATAAAACTCCCGTAGTTCGATCCCGATACGTCGTATGGTCCCTCAACACCAGAGCACGCATTCTGCTGCGGAATTACATTCCCCTCCCATGTTTTTTATTTGTATTTTTAAATTTTACTTTAAGTTGGGCTTTGGGGCCACATCTACTGGTGTTCAGGGGCTAGTCCTGGCTCTGTGACCCCCTGGCAGCACTGGGGAGGAGGGGAACCCTTATGTGGTGCCTGGAATCAAATGGATTGGCCACAGGCAAGTGCCTTACTCCTTGGACTATCTCCCCAACCCCATACATTTTTATTTTATTAATTAACAGAATTTTGGGCAACGACCAGGGCTCAGGATCTTCTCCAGGTTCTGTGCTGGGTGCTGGGGGATTCGGTTGCTCCCTTTAATGCTTGGAGAACCTTGTGGTGCCAGGATCCAATTGCTATAATCAAGGCAAGCACTTTAACCCTATGCTCTCTCCTTTCATTCTTTGTATGTTTGTTTGTGGAGGGCGGGCGGGGTGAGGAGTGACACCTTGCATGCAGCTGACCCTAGTTCAGTTCCCAGTTCCCAGCACTAAACACTGTCTTCTAGCAGCAGCAGTTATCACTCCTGAGCAGAGTCAAGACTAGCTCAGGTGGGTAGGAAGGAAGGAAGGAAGGAAGGAAGGAAGGAAGGAAGGAAGGAAGGAAGGAAGGAAGGAAGGAAGGAAGGAAGGAAGGAAGGAAGGAAATGGAAGGGAGAAAGGGAGAGAGGGGCGGGAACTGGCTGTGTCGTTCATGAGAAGTGCATAGACTGTGTGGGGCAAGAGGAGGTTGTTAGGGCTGGGGCGATATCAGGGATAGAACCGGTAATGTTCATGGGTAAAGGAGAGGACTGGACATTTGGGGAGGAACCCAGACGCCTTACTTAAACCTTAAAATAAACTTAATCTTTTAAGTTTTGTATGCACATCTTTCATACAATTCTCAAGAACCCCCAGCACAGGAAAATCCACTTTCGTGTTAACACCCCCGCCAAATTATCTTTGCTCTTTCGTTGAGGATCAGCTTGCCTGCCTGCCCTCCCTCCTGTCCTCTCTTCTTTCCTTCCTGCCCATATACGCTCAGTGGCTAGTCTGGCTCTGTTGTCAGCAGTGATGCCTGGTGCCGCTGGGGGCTGTGTTTAGTGCTGGGAACTAAACCAGGGTCATCTGCATACAAGGTTTTGTACCAACTGTACCAACTTCTCTATATTTTCAACAGCTATTTCTATAATACATCTATTTCTATAATTTCAACACCTATTTCTATAATACCTCTATATCTATAAATATAGTACAATTATATTTCTATAATATTTCTATATTATATATCCTATAAATACAGGTATTTTAGGATATATCACATATTGCTGAGCTTAGTTTTCTGTTATCTATTTTTTTAATTTTTTTTTTTTGCTTTCTGGGTTACACCTGGTGATGCACAGGGGTTACTCCTGGCTCTGCAGTCAGGAATTACTCCTGGCAGTGCTTAGCGGACCATATGGGATGCTGGGGATCAAACTTGCGTCGGCCCCTTGCAAGGCAATCACCCTACCCACTGCACTATTCCTGCAGCCCTGGTTTTCTGTTCTCTATTTACTATTTTTGTATCTATATTCATCAGGGCTTTTTTTTTCTTTTTACTGTCTTTGGTGTTGTTATCAAGGTAATGTTAGCCCTTTTAAATGAGTTGGAGAGGGGAGGAGAGAAGATGGAGGTGGCAGGCAGCAGGCAGAAGAGTTGGCAGAGCGGCAGCAGCTCTCAGCGCTCTGAGCAGCGGGGCTGATGGGGTCATAGCATTTCTGCGTGAATGACTACAAGTGTCCTTTCAGTATTTTCTCTCAAAAAGAGTGGTTTTAAGTGGAACCAAACCGGCGCCGGTGGTGTTGCGCTGCAGCTCTCGGTGCAACAGGCAACTGGCCACTCTGGCAGTAAAGTTTAGTGTGACTGAACAGGGCTGTTTGGGTCCAGCAATGCACGACCATGGAGTGCGGGTCCCGGAATTGGGGGAGCACCTGGGTTCGCACTACGGTCACTGTCTGTAGCACTGTAGCACTGTCCTCCCATTGTTCGTCGATTTGCTTGAGCGGTCACCAGTAACGTCTCCATTGTGAGATTTACTGTTATTGTTTTTGGCATATTGAATACGCCAAGGGTAGCTTGCCAGACTTTGCTGTGCGGGCAGGATACTCTCTCGGTAGCTTGCTGGGCTCTCCGAGAGAGACGGAGGAATCGACCCCGGGTGGGCTGCATGCAAGGCAAACGCCCTACCTGCTCTGCTATCGCCCCAGCCCACTATGGGCAACTCAGGCAACTCGCCGTCAGCAAGGTGCCCCCACTGCCAGTGCTGCCACAACATACTATGGAGGAAAACCCCCCTGAGCACCAACTGTCTGCAGACTGAGGGTGGGGGTTGTGTGCCTCCAGGGCAGGTTCTGCCAGATTGGTGGCTACAGTCCACCAAGAGTGCCTGAATTGTGAATGGTATTAGCCCTGACCTTCGTCCTGGTCCCTGTTGGGGTCACAGCTGTTGCCCCCCAGTAAGACCCAGAGGGTACAGCACCACTGGCAGTCAACCTGGACACAGTGGGCCAAGGGCATCAGCAGCCTACTAGTGCCCCAGCATTTCTGACACCCCAAAATTGCTGCTATGTCTCTGGCCAGACTCTAACAACTCAGGACCAAGTTTTTTGAGAAATTAAACCGCCAAAAGATAGGTATGCTCACAAATCACCTCAGCTCAGCCATACAAGCTTATTGCTTCAGAGATCCATACATAAATCTCCAAAGAGATCAAAAGCCTCAATTAATCTCAGACCCATGCAAAGCTGAACGGACGAGAGTAGATCAGAGGGGGACAGGTTTGCCTCGTGCCCACCCAAACAGAGCCCCTGGCAGCGGCTTGCTCCCACGATCCAAAATCGCCATGCCCCAGGTCAGACTCCACAGTTTTGAGACAGACCTCACTAAGATATTAATGTGCTGAAAATTTGAGTATGCAAATTTTGTGACTGAGATCTCCAGGCTTTCTTGGAGCTGGGATGGGCTACCTCACCCCCACCTCCCTGTACCCCTGCAGTCACGTCCACACCTCAAAGCTGCCACCCAGTTAAAAAAGTACATCCAGATGTACTTTCCTGCTAAAAATACTAAATGCCCTGAACAAACACGGTGGCCTCTTAGAACTTGTATTGCAAACCATAATGCACAAAAGGAGAGAGAGAAAGAAGAAAGATACTGGCCATAGAGGCCTGCCAGGGGAATTGAGGTTTCAGGGGGTTGCAGGGAAACTGGGGACATTGGTGGTGAGAAATATATACTGGTGGAGAGATGGGTGTTGGAACATTGTATGACTGAAACTCAATCATGAACATCTTTGTAATGGTCTATCTCATGGTGATTTAATAAATAAATAAAATTTAAATGAGTTGGGGGGGACAAAGAGAGAGTAGAGGAAACAAGACTCTTGCCTTGCATTTGACTAACCCTGGTTCAACCCTGGCATCACATACGGCCCCTTGAGCACTACCAGGAGTGATCCCTGAGCACAGAGCCAGATTACGGAAAGCACTAAACATAGCCAGGTACAGCCCCAAAGCCAATAATAAAAATAGAATAAAACGAGTTGGAAAATGTTTCTTTTTCTTATGTTTTCTGATGAACTGATTTTTTAAAAAGCTGAAACTGGGAGCTAGAGAGATAATACAGGGATTAAGGTGCTTGCTTTGCATGCAGCCAAGCTTGGTTTGATCCCTGGCACGACATATGAGTGTCACTAAGTACTATCAGTTGTAGTGATAGTACACTACACAGCACAGCATCAGGAGCACAGCATCAGGAATATCCCCCTGAGCACCACTGACTGTGACCCCCCCAAAAAAGCAAAAGGAAACCAAGAAAACAGCCCCTCCACGTTCCCAGAACCATATTGTAGTCAAAACAATGGTATATTCAAGGTAAACTCACTCTCAGCCTTTTTTTCAACCTATTAAATTATTCCATAGCAGATACTTCATTTAAAAAATCTGCCTATTGAAAGTAGATATAGCCTACAAAAAGAGATTGACTATTTGTCTGAGTTCTATCTTAGTAGCTTTATGTTTGTTTGTTTTAGATGGTCTTTGGATTTC